GTTCTGTTGCTGGACTTCTGTGCTAGTCACGGATTGTCCATCACGAACACCATGTTCGAGCACAAGGATGTCCACATGTGCACGTGGCACCAGGACGCCCTAGGCCGGCGGTCGATGATCGACTTTGTAGTTGTTTCATCAGACCTCCGACCGCGTGTCTCGGACAATCGAGGAAAGAGAGGAGCAGAGCTGTCCACCGATCACCACCTGGTGGTGAGTTGGATTCGCTGGCAGGGGAAGAAGCTGGTCAGACCGACAGCACTAACAACAAAGTCTGATCATCATTACAGTAAGTTATTTCTTTTTAAATTGGCGAAACGCAAGTGTGAGCCGTGAGCACAACTTTTATATTTCTGGCGTGAGGGTGGGACATGTGTGATGCACGCCCGCTGTGTGTTCAATTTTGTTCATGAGTTGTGAGGGGCACCTGCTCACTCATTACGTGCGTCTTCGACCATAGATGTATAAATTCAGTTTGAGGATTAAAAGTTGTAGGAGTAATAAGAGCTAAAGTAAAAGATATTAAATAAAATTAGAACAGCTGAACACCCAGTATGACATTCAGCAACAGGCTTGACATTAAGGCATAAAGCTTAACCTTTAATTATTCAAGAACTGTAAAAGACATTAAATAGCTGAACACAAGTTTAATAGTTCAAAAGTTTATGACCCACTTTAAAGGGTGTCCATAGCTGAAACGATGCAGAATGAGTAAAAAGCCAAAAGGATTTGAACATCCCATCCATTCACTGTAGTTACAAAAATAACTGGAAAAAAAAGTAGCAAGGTCAGAAAACAGAAGAATAATAAAGAGTTTGAAAGATATTAGTCGTGTAAATAGTAAAACAGCCTTCACACAGTGAAATTAACGTTAGTGTCAATTTCATGATGAGCAGCAGTGCTGAAACATGTTTGTCCTGTACAGGCATGATTCTGTCATTTATTGTTTATTGTATAAAGAATTGTCTGAGTATTTATCCTAAGAATAACACATTCGAGTTTTGAAAGTGGCTCTGAACTTATGACGTTCCAGAACAAATGTGGGCCAGCTGGACACAGACTGTCCTGAGTACAGCCTCTGATACGCAACTGCTGCAGTTATGGAGACAACAAACATTCTTCAATCACATAAACTTTAAGTTTATCAGAGCAGTGGAGAGAGACAGGAAAGGAGGGAGAAGAGTGGTAAAAGACCTGCAGCGGCCGTGGTCGGGAGTCGATCCTACAGCCACTGTGTCGGGGACTATAGCCCCTGTTTGTGGGTCTGGTTGAGCTACCTGGGCACCCAGATTTTTGCTTTAATATGCATTTGCTTCAGTTGGCTCTCGAGTTTCTTCCAGCAGAGCCCTCATGTCCAACATTGCATCCTCTAAGACTTGGACCAGTTGTGCTACATTGTTCTCTTTGCAGGAGTGGCAGGCTGTCACTACAAAGATTATCTTATCACTTGTATGATAGTAGCACATATCATATAAATTAGGTGTAGCAGGACCAGCATATGGCAGACACCCAGCCCTGGATGGTACCTTGTGAAGAAGAACACAACAGAATGTAGTGGTTATTTTTTGTTGCTGATGTGTGTTTCTATAAGAGGTAGTGAATCTTAGTTTTGAAAAAGGCAAGCATTTTCAGCAGCATGTAACCTTATGCTGCTAGATGGGGTTTGGGAACAAAACAGAACGACACCAATTGGACCCTATCAAAACTCAGAGACATTCTTATGTACAACACCAAAAGCCTGCTACACATAGATCAGCACGATGCTCCTGTCAATTGGCAATTCTGAAAGTGAGGCAACAATCACACTCAATTCAAGGTGTTGCCTGGATTTCAGTCTGGAGCAACTTGAATCACTCACCAAAGCAAATAAAATCCAACAGCAATCTGGCAACAAGTTCAACCCTCAGAGGCCTGTACTACGAAGCAAGTTCAACATATCTGGAGTATCTTTCCATTGTCTGCTTTCATGAAACCTAACAACAGAGGCCAGGATAAGCACTGACATGAAGTTTATTATCAACTCAGTAAGTCAACCCAGTGTTTCTGAACCTGGCACCAGAGTGGCATATTTTACAAAAGCCAACTATATTGTTAGAGGGAGATGCAGGAGGGAAAGCAAAAAACAAACAAACTGCAGACTGTGGGAATGTTAACAGGCTTATCAATATCACTACCAAATTATTAGGGCATGATGAGTAGATCTGACTATAATTATAACTGTGTATTCTGCTAAATGAATGTCCTTCTTGGATGTATTCTTCTGGTGTGTAAGACAGTCTTATCCTTTCAGCTGACCCCTTGGCGGTGTCAAATGGTCTTGTGAGCAAGTAAAAACTAAACATAAAAACCCAACTCAAAGCTCTTAGAAGGCTGACTCTCATATTGTATAGAAGGCTAAAAGTAACGGGGTACAACTTGTTTTTTACAAGAATTATTTTCATGGTGATGTGGTGGATGAATTCAGCAATCTTACATTCAGTCTCATTCTTACGGTGTGTCAGACAGTTTTAGTCCAATTCTTGCAGCTGTGACCTGGCAGCTTTAAACAGTTATGGGAGCAAGTAAAGAAAAATTTAAAATGTCATTCAAAAACTTGCTGCAAATCTTATTAGGGCAACAAGCAGGCTATAAGGCGTTGGTGTTTTGATCAGCTTCTGTTTAAAATTACAACACTCTCGGCACATAAACCAAAATGGCTTTGAAATCACTTACAGCTAAAGGCTCTAAACTCTTATCTTCCCCTCTCGCTATCTGTGCACTGAGCTAAGCTGGTTCTTCAAGGAATGGTGATGATTTTCCAAGTGGGTGGCATTTTAATGCACATTGATTTGTTCTCGAAACATAACCTACTCCTGAGTTTAGCACAAGTTATAGTCCTGTAAACCTAGAGTTAAACCTTAAGCTATCTCGCTAAGCACAAATTCTTCATAGTACAGGCCTCTGATCTCCTCAGTTCCCAAAACAAAGCAATGACAGTGAGCAATCTTGCACAGCACCTCATCTACTCCACTTTTACAAAGCAACCTATACAACCCATGTGCATGGCCAGCCATCATAAAAGCACAACATTATAAACACAATGAACTTGTACAACATCAAAACAGCTTAAAGAAACAAATTGTGAAGTTAGTGATCTGTTTTTTCATTAAATCTTCGACAGATACATAATCTAAAAGCTCATATTTCATTCCTGGGGCAAGTTTGATACAATGACTGTAGAGAAGTGGTAGCCATCTTGGTTGTTCACAAAATTGCCTTCCACTGGGAAGATGATGTGGAAGGGTTTTTCTTGAATCCACTATCATGCAAGTATTGAAAAATGTATATATGTTTTCTGTGAAATAACTGATCTTAAAGCCTTTTAAATTTTTCTTTGCTCAGCACTATGCCACAGTCACTGGTTGTATGTCTATCCAATGCATTGGGCAGCATTCAGGTCTGCACTTCCTTATAGTTCCTCTGGAAAATTAAAAATGAAATGAGAGGGTAATTCATGTTTGTCAGGCAAGTGCCAAGTCAAAAGTGATCAGACACTGTTACTAATAAGAAAGCAGCTCCAGAAAGAGAGGAACAGCAGTAATTTCAGTGGACATAGATGGGCTAAAAAGGTAAAGTCCTCTGTTGGGTGTGATTGCTCGGTCATGCTATCCCACCAAAGAAAATATAAATACAACAATATGTTGGTGCATTTTTGAGGAGCAGAGGAAAGATATGAGTATGATAAGATGTAAACAATTACTCATTACATACATGAATTATGCATATCATTAGAAATACAACCAATAAAGTTTATATTTTTACAGCTCTGTTCCTTACCTGACTTGTTGAAAGTCTGTAATCCAAGAATTTATGATAGGAGACGTCTGTGAAAATGTCAGGCATGGAGATTTTTTCTTCAACAGCCTGCAATGCCAGAACCTTGAGGTGCCCCTCTACGTCCTGTCCACTGACTGCCTGTTAGAATGGAGAATGTTGAATTTGTTTGCCATGTTGGTAACTAGAACTAGTATCAAAGGTACCCTGGTTACCTGGTTTTCTTGAACACAAACTTCCTATTCACATTCAGTGTTTTTCACCAAAGTGTACAGTGTGGAGTGAATAATGTTGACATCATCAAAGTAGCTGTGTGGTCCAATCCCACAAAGAAAATACTGTAGCTCAAACTGCTAAAACACTGCTATGATAGAAAGGTGTCAGTACATCCAGCACATCACAGCTTGCTGTGTATGGCTGCATAGTTGGTATAGCTGCTTACTCAGTGTCAATGCTGACCCTGTCCACCACTCAAAGCACCTACATTAGGTACGTGAGAATCAGAACTGCAGCATGAAGCAATGGAAGAAGGTGGCCTGATCTAAACAATCATGTTTTCTTTTACATCACGTGAGTGGCGGGTATTTGTGTGTTTAACTAGGAAAGAGATAGCAGTAAGATGCACTTGGCTAGCTGGTGGAGGCAGTATGATGCTCTGGGCAATGTTCTGCTGGAAAAGCTTGAGTCCTGTCATTCAAGCGCCTACCTAAACATAGTTGCAGGCTTAATACACCCCTTCATGACAGTCCTATTTGCTGATTGCAGTGTCCTCTTTCAGGAGGATATGGTCCTGCTATACTGAACAAAAAAATGTTCAGGAATGGTTTGGAGGATTTAAGGGTGGTGAACTTGGCCTCCAATGGCCTTCGCAGATCTCAGTCTGATTAAGCATCTGTGGGGTGTGCTGGAAAAACATGTCTGCTCCATGGAGCATCCACCTCACAACTTCCAAGGCTTGAAGAATGTACTACTGTAGTCTTGGTATGTGATCCCATAGGACACCATCAGTGGTCTGTGGCGGGGTGATTGGTGTGTATTATCCCTGCTATAGCTAATATTACATCACAGAAACACTACATAAAATCTTCTTTCAGGAATTACTCAAACCCTGTGGTCCTTGTGATCTGCACCCTGCAGCTCATTTGGCATCTAAAGATACTGCTATATTTAGCAAGCTAAATATTTAAATCATATTTTGTCTTGTGATTTGACTGCTTCTGTATTCATACAATCTTTGCATTTACACTTTGTAGCCCTGCTTTTTAAGTGTTATTAATTACTTACTATTTCTTAACTCATATTTGAAACTAACACCGTCTCCATCCATGTTTAGTTGCGAGTAGTCTTCCCTGTCTTTGTTGTCACATGTTGCTCTGTTAGCTCCAGTTTGAAACCACTGGCTGGAATATACAGTCATGACTCGATAGTCCAACCCTTAACAATCCGAAAACCTTGCTATCCGACAGGTTTTTAGGAAAAACAAACAGAACCCATAGAAAATAGCCTTAACATACTGACAGCCTTGGATTCTGACTCCGACATGATATTTTATGTCACAAATAAGGATAACTGTGGTGATACAAATTTTGTGCTTTGTGTGAAACTGTGTTTTAGTGTATTTGCTTGTGGTTGCTGGTGGCTGTGATGGTGTTTTCAGGCTGGGCGGGATTTCCGGACGGAAGAGCTCTCACACACTCTCCTCCACACCTGACGCGCATCGGCAGTCAGCACTGGATAAAGCCTGCCTCCACCTGTGCTCCAGCGCCAGTGGATTATCCTCTTCAGAGTGGTAGCAGGTCAGCCATGCTTTGAGAACTTTGTGCTTTGTGATACTTGCTGTGTCTAATGTGTGTGTTTCGTCTGCGCTTTTTGCCAGAACCTCCCTGACAGATCGTCGCCTCCCCAGCTCCGCTTTGGCAGCAAAACCCCAGCCTCACTCACTCAGCTACCCTCACAAGCTTCCTGGTGTCCCTTGATTCCCTGCTATTGTAAAATAAATCCCTCTTGTCTTCACGCCCAAACCCTGTGTTGCATTTTTGGACAGATTGGCTACGTTCAGACTGCAGGACTTAATGCTCAATTTGGATTATTTTGTGAAATCCGATTTTTTGCAAGTTCGTTCACATTTCCAATTAAATACGACTTGTATGTGACCTGCTGTGTGAACTTCATACGACCCAAAAGTGTCCCGCATGCGCAGAAGATAGACGCAACGTGCTCAGTGTTTACAGATGTAAACACGGATGGTAACGGTGGAGCGTATCCACCATTCCCCTGCTGCCGCCACGATGGTAGAAACAGAACTGTGACCGCTAAACTGGTGTGTGCATTCCAGTCACTTTCATCCCGTTGGAGCACACCCCCGGGGTGGAAGTGGCCGGAACATGCACAAGTGCACCAGTCAATTAGGTGTGAAATCCAGCGATGCGTAGTGTTCTAACAATACACTAGTTATTATAACAACTATAAACAATAAATATTAACAACAAATGACCCTTCAAGCATCAAGCCATCCTTTTATCTTGACCTCTGTCTTGACAATCTGACAGCCTTGCTATCCAACTTAGAAGAAGGTTTTACATTTAGTGTCAGATTATTGAGTCACGACTGTATGTCAAATCAACTATGCACATGTACATATGTGTCTTTGTACACAAGAACAAACAAGATGGTGGCTGCATGTAAAGTACTACTTGTGGTGAAAAACTGCACAGAGTACCTTGAACTTTATCCCTTTCACAGTGGACACATTATTAAGCAAATATCTCATGCAGAGAGAAAAAAAAACAATCTCAGCTGTACTGAACTAGTCATGACCCAGAAATTAGTCCATATAAGGTGGGATAGAAAAAAGAGAACACTTCATATAAAAGCTCTAAATAGCATCTTTACACCAATGATGAACTGTACCTCCACCAAACTAAAGTCCGGAGTGATTCTGTGAATGATACTCACCAAGTTAGTGTTCGATCTGTGTACTTTTATAGCCTCCTTTAATAAATAAACTTTCTCTGTATTCTGTGTAAAAAAGAAGAAAACAATGTTACAAGTCATCATTTGTATTAGTATTAATTTTGGTGTGCTGCTGTACAACAACAGTCCGGATATTAGACCAAGTAGAAATATATCTCAACTCCCATCAGCTGTAAGCTAAACAGTTACATGCTTTATCAAAGTACATTTCGGTACTATAAAGGCAATAAAAATAAATAAACTAAAAAAGGCATTACAATTATTTATATTTTTATAGTTATTTACAAGAGTTGCGCTTGAATTTTGCCTCTTTTCCGACCTGTTTTTTGGGATCATCAAAGGCCTTGATAAATGCAGCTGAGGCACTGGTGGTTGTTGAGATTGTAGCTACACGCCCGTCTCTGAACGTACGTAGAGAGGCGGCTTCATACGACGCACAGCACCGCTGGTACATCCTGCCACAAGAAGGCAGAGCAATATTTTCAACAAACTCCCAGTTCCAATGTAGAAAGTCATGAAATTTCTTGACTGAACACAAATTCTGTAGCTCTGCAAAAAACAGTGTCATATAAACTGTTGAGTTGGATACTAAATGTCACAGTTTTGGCTTTCATTCATTCATTCATTTTAGATGTTCCGTTTTCAATGACTAATAAACAGCCACGCTTTGCTAAAACAGGGTGAATCCATTGCAACACCGTTAATGGGTAGCAATTTTTGTTGCAGCTTAACTGTGTAATCATGTTTTTTTCCCCTGGTGGTTAGTTAGCTTGGATGTAATTAGTAAAAAGCCTGCAGACAAAGACAAGCCATCTCCACAAGTGTTCAGAATCTCACCTGTAGTAGGCCAGTTGTATTGCCATCTGTATGAAAGCATCAGGGCTCATCTTGTGGGCCTTAAGAACATTTTTCCCAAAGTGGTTGAATACCATGACGCTTACATCCAGGTCTTGAGCGAGTCTATGAGTGTGGGGAAGGGAGACATTTTCTTGGGTAGCTTCACAGATGTTTACATATCTTGACATATCTCTGTTTTATTACAAGTATGTATTATATGGTTAATATACATTTTTATTTTTTTTTTAAATATATTTTTTTTGGCTTTTGCCTTTATTTAGTGCAGTAGAGGGAGACAGGAAAGGGGGGAGAAGAATGGGGACAGACCTGCAGCAAAGGGTCGTGAGCGGGATTCGAACTCACGACCGCTGCATCGGGGAACTACAGCCCCTGTTCATGGGCCGCCCGCTCTACCAGGTGAGCTATAGGGGGGCCATTAATATACATTTTTAATATATATCCTATAGATTACCATTACGTAATCTTCTGCAGTGTTTGCAGAAACTGCTTTCTCAATGTTCACAGATGTATTTGTCTCAGCATTTCATTCACTCTGTTTTAATACAAGTGATGATAAACAACTTTATGAAAGGATTACCACATACAGACCCAAATAAACAGAGGAAGAGTGAGAGAGAGTTTGCTGAGGATGGGGGACGGTAGGGAAGAGCTGGCAGCCCAGTGCCAGATTTGAAAGGATGAGGTTGTTGGGGAGTTTCAAGGGAGGATAGGTGAGTTGGTATCCCATGGCCAGAAGTGGCTGTACTGGTGGAACTGGGGACAGGTTGCAGTGGAGTAGGTTGCTGGTAGACAGGATAAATCATACCTGGCTAACCAGACTGAGCTATGGAGAGTGTGGTGTCTAATGGGGAGGGCATTGTTTTGGTTTATCCCATGTTGAAAGCTCTAGGAGTTTGTCAGATGTTGAAATAGTTTAATTTTGTCATCAGCAAGGTGGTGAAGACTTTCTCTTAAGCTCTGTGAAGACCAACGAGGAACTGGTCGGAGATTTAACCTAAAGGGACATCATCAAGAGAACTGTCGGGAATGTGGGAGCACGATAAGTGTTTCTGGGTGCATTGAGAGAATGAGTTGGCTTCTCTGCAGACTGGTCTACATCAGGCATTGACGGTGTGTTGATGGGGTCACGTTCTGGGGCACAGCCTCAGTGTCTGCCAGATGGAGGCTTGTTGTGTGTCATGTGACCTCAGCTCTGAAGGTTTCTAAGAAGTTGGAATAATTTAGCTTTGTTGTGGCTGGGACAGATAAAGTCTTTCTTACTACTTCCTGAAGACCCACAACGGTCGGGTTGGAGATTTTGTGTGGAGGGACAACGCCGGAGGATCTGTCGGGAGTTTGGAAGTGTGCCAATCTGTTCCGGATGTGACGGCTTCTCTGGATACTCATCTGCTTCGGACATCAGCACTGGTAAAGTTGAGGAGGGAGTAATTACGTTTTGGCCTTCCCTTAGAAGAGCTTCCCTGGTTGTAGCTGGGATCAGATGAGGAGTCTGATGCAGCTAAAGAACGGACAGAGTTCTGATTGAAGTCATCTCTTTGTGATGAGTGACGTGGTTAGTGACTTTTCTGGAGCGACGCCGATCTCCTCATCTCTGGGCTTCGTTGTGAATTGGGCTGATCGGCATCAAGGTGATCTGGAGCCGGGCTGAATGTTCCCTCATGGAGGGTTAATGGAAGAGCAGTCTGTAATAAGTCAGAGTCTTCTAAAACTTTCAGACTGGCAGCGTGGCTGAGCGATGGCATATGTTGCTCTGTGTATGAGAAGCAAGAACTAACAAGTGGGAAGGGCAGAGTGGTATGTATAGACGTACGACAGGAAGGAGAGTGGTTAAGATGTGTTCCTGCTTCTGAACCTCAGCTAAAGATTTTAGCTCCTTTAGAACAGAATAAATTCTTTGTTTTTCTTCTGGCACTGACTGCACGCTTGGACTTCACTTTTGCTTTTCCAGTGTGGTATGGGAGGTCATTTTCAGTCTGTTTATAGACAGGGAAAGGCCAACAATTCCAAAGGGAGGGACTCACATGTACTCATGTGCACTAACATTCACATGCAACCAACTGTCACAACGTCACTCCACAAGCACTGGGATTAAAACTTATTTGACATCATTACAATAAGCATGTTGCCGGTCTAAGTGTAATAAAACTAGTGCAATTATGTTTAAAAAAAATGGTCTGGATGCTTGGGTAGAGGTAAGTGAAGAGTGTGGCTTTTGTGTTTGCTCAAAAAAGCAGCAAGAGGAATTACTTTTGGGGGACATTTGATGCAGACAGGACAGAATCTGAACATTCTTAACTAGTGATAGGATTGCCATATCTTCTTTTACGTGTCGATGCCAAATAGTATAAACAGTGGGAGTTTGAAAATGGTGTCACTGGTGAATGTACTGCAGCTGCTCCAATAGCAGCAAATTGAAATGACAATGATTTTTTTCTTTGTCTGGGTTTTTCTTTGACTTTCGGTTTTTCTGGACACTGGGTCTGGTCTGGGTGTAACTCACAGCTTATCAAACAACTTTATCACAGTTTAAATAGAGTCTCACATGTCGATGCTCTGCTTTGCCTTCCCAATGTCTTTGTTAATATCAGGTGTGATGTTGAAGTGTAGTTTCTGGGGCATCGGCAAAGGCTCCACAACAGACTGCATCTTCTCTGGCTCCTTTCTGTTTCCACACATAGAAACAAAGAAGAAAAAAATAGAAAACAAAACATCACCTAAACAGTGTTCTCAATAAATGCGCTTGATAAAAATAAAAAAATACACACAGATACTGCTCACACGTCTGACAGCTGACATACCCAGACCCAACAAAAGATTAAATGAATCCAGGCTCAAATAACCCTTTTGGTAAGTAACTCTAGATGTAAACTTAGTTTACAAAAAAACTGTATAAAACAGCTTTCAGTAGCTCGGTTATGTTGATAGCCATGTAATTGAAGAAAGACTAATATGTTGTCTTTGCTCTTGCAGTAATGTGTGAGTTTTACCTCTGTGCCTATTTAGTCTTATCGCTGAACTGTCTGTAAAGTCATACAACAACACATTTAAAATGGCTACAGTAAGAGAACCTCATTTGCTTTTGGTCTACTTACATGGATAATACAATATAGTCCAAGAAGGCCATAAAGACTATAGCATCAGCAGCAGCATGTGATAGGTTACAACCAAGTGTCCCATCTTCTCCAACAATTAACTGAAAGAAACAGAAACACAAATGAAGCATTAGCATCACATACCAAACCTTTGTCAGTCTCTTACCATATGTGTGATCATGTTGCTATCACGCCCTCCATCTCTAACTCTGCTTAGCAGCAGCCTTTTCCTTTCCCCTTCCTTTGCTTCTTTCCTTTTTCCCCAAGTGGGCGTGAGCAAGGTGTAGGCGTGGCAGCAGGCAGGTGCAGCCAGTTGGATAATCATCGAAGTGAACACACCTGAGCCAGGGAGTGGTCCACCTGCAACTCAGTTCTGGGTCCCAAACAGCAAAAAGGCAAACTCTGAACACAGTCTGAGATAGGGCTGCGACATATTGAACAAATTATGTTTGTATTGACTCAAAGTAGCAAACGTTTGATTTGATGACTGCTTTCCATTTGATGGGCAATATTTTAAGTTAAAATTAGGTTCGATGGGGGACAGTGGAAATCTGTATTTTGGTCTAATGATATTTGAGTTTTACAGATGAAACCCACAAAAGGTGAATAAATTAATTAGTATGTACTGTTCCCACTGTGAAGAATGGAAGACAATGCTGGCTATTTATTCAGAATTGATTGCATATTTAACCAGCGTACCAGCTACCTTAACATTTTAATGTATTGAACATTTTTCTACAATGTGGAAACATAACAGAAATGAAGAAAAACCCTTGAATGAGAGGGTGTGTACAAACCTTTTACTGGTCATGTGGACTGTGCAGAGTGAGGAGAAGAACAACAGGTACGTTTCAAAGTAACACACAGAGAATCCAGAAACCCTTTCTCAAAGCTGTACATTTGGTGGGAGATCATTTCAGAAGACAACTAGTCCAAAACTCATATCCAAATGGAACATCTGCATGCCTCATGTTTACATCAAAATTACCACTGATGTCACTCTTGGAGGCAACAGGATGTCTGTTACCTCCACCAGAACCTAGTCAGGGTCATAAAGTGTCAGTTATGAGGTAAACCACACCTCTGGAGATTGCACTCTTCACAGTGACCTCCTGACCTTTCTCTCTTCCTAGCACCCAGAAATTCCATAACAACAATTAACTGAGCAGTTTTGAATCCCAAAAAATAAGGAAATTCAACATCATCTGCGTGATGATCCCAACATCTGGACTCAATCTACGATTCCAGGTCATCAGGACCAGTATTGAAGAAGAACACCGCATATCTGAAGTGTTTGTGGAAGATGCACACACAACAGACACAGACACCCTCCTTCTCTCTGTCTCAGCCATAAAAGACACAGAGAGGCTTTTATCCTAAATATTTATACTTCTTAAGTCTTATTTTTCTTATTATAAATGTATATGCTTGTGTCTTAGTTATATTAGAAATTTACTTTATATATCCTGAAATTCCATAGTTTGTATGCATGTTTACACTTTTCATATTATCGCAGAAACTGTAGGAGATAACATAAAGTGTAGTGGTGCTACATTCTTGTAGTGGTGCAGCTGGCTACATTTTGCTACTACTGATTGATTCATTGATTGATTCATTCATTCATTCATTCATTCATTCATTCATTCATTCATTCATGTGTTATATTACCTGCAATGTTTTGTCAAACCAGCGGTTGGCACTGTTCCACTCGCTGCCACCTCCATGTAACACGCGAAGCACGCCACTTTCGTCCGACGCTATGGGCATGGGTCCGTCCAAACACACTGTGCAGATGCTCCTTTCAATGGATGACAGCGATTCTTCGTTGGTCTTATCTAAATCAAAATAAGTACAAATCCACAAAGTATACATGATGTTCTGTAATTGGACTAAGACAGTTTAGCAGGTCTGACCTAGATTATCTGCTTTCTCTTACCTCAACAGGGAATCCTTTCGTGTTTTATTCTCATGATGTTCCAAGTCATTTAAACTTTTCTATAAGACTGCTTTATGAATTTGATAGTTTTATTTTTACACAACAGTTATGCACAGTCATAAAAACTAATTTAAACATTCTCTTTCAGACTCATTTTACTATAGTCAGATGAGGGCTTTTGTTTCTTCCCTACAATATTTGTTTATCTTGCGTTCATATTCAAAGTACAAAAGTAAACTATTAAAATACAAGTTGAAATAATTTAAATAATGTCACCTTCAGAAGGCAGCACTGCACCAGTGTGTAGCAGTTTACCTTTCTGTTCCCACTGTCTTACTATAGCTAATGATTTATACTACAGGTAACTTGAATTGCCGTTTTTTTCATTAGGCGTTATGTTCTTTAGTTTCACCTGCTTGACAACAGTGTTGTGCTCACCCTTGATCAGGCTGATGAAAGCTTTGCTCCAGGAGTCACGGTCCATGGTGGTAAGGAGGCCGACAGGCTCCGCATCGCTTTCTGGTGAGGAGTTGCAGATCTTCTCTAGCTGAACATAAAGCTGATCGACTGTCAGCGGAGTCCCATCACTGTTGTAGACCTCCAACACAAAGAACTGATCCAGAGGAGGACACACATGAAAGGTTGTTAACTGATCTTCTGATTTTTTTTTTTTTACTTTTTTTTCTTATCATTATTTTAAAAAATGCACCATTAAAAGAACAGTAAAACTTTTAATTTGAGTCAGCTGGGATAGACTCTAGCACCCCGCGACCTTAATGAGGATTAAGCGGTGTATAGAGAATGGATGGATGAATAAATGTTTTGAAGTGTCAGCTGGGTTCCTTAGTCCAGTAGCTGATTGGACTGCTTCAAACATGTGGACCTAGTCCTGTTTGTCCATAAAGATTCAATATTCTGCGAAACGATATAATTAAACTGTTCATTGATTTAATGTCTATTTTACGTGTCTTTGTTAATAACTTCATATATTAATTAATCTACAAAATAATATAACGCTAAGAAAAAGTGAGAATTATTTCAAAGAATGTAGGCAGATGTAGGGAAAATCTCTGACTGTGATCTGTTGTCCTCTGATCATATGTGAAATTAATAATGTAATCACTGGAGAACTGCTTTTTTGTGTGTGTTTTTCTCTGTAAGTAGAAGTAGGTCGCTTTTTACCTGAGAGTTATGTACCACAGTCATGTGTTTGGGGGGGTTGGAGCTCTTGGCGTGGTACACCACAGAGTCTACCTCCGGACCAGGAATACGACAGGATGACAGCAATTGGGAGTATTGCTTCATACACAGGGGATTCCCTCCCATATACTCAACTGGTAGAGTCTCACTGCAAAACATACAGGCTCTGTCAATAGACGCAGACCTTAAAAGAGCCATTTAAAAAACACACACCTGAAGCTAATACTGAATATGAACTGGGGACTCTGACTGTGATAATTGTTCATCATGTGTTAACAGTTGTCATGCCCTCCACCTCCAGCTCTACTTAGTGGCAGCCTCCCCGTAGCCCTCCTTTGTTTCCCCTCGTGGGCATGAGTGAGTTGTGTGTGAGTGTATGTGTGTAAAGGTAAAGGTAAAGAGGAGTGTTTCCATCTCAAGACTTACTTATCAATCATGTTCTTGAATTCCAAAACAGCCGCAATAATTCTGGCAGCACACCTAAGCAAAGAAAACGTGGTTATTTATTTAAATGACATAACATTGCATAAAGTAGGTAAGCAATTAGAGAATCTATGTGAGGGTTATGGGATATGTTTGTGTTTTGTAGTTTTTTCTCTGCTTTCCTGTGTTTGTCTTGGTGGGTGTGTGTGTTTTCTCGGCAGGCTGGGCGGAGTCGAAGGAGGGAGAACTTTCTCGCGCTGGCAGGTGCTGCTCATCAGCTCATCAACGGAGCTCCTGAAATACCAGCGTCTCACAGACCTCCAGCGCCAGATGATCGTGAATCATCCTAGGGGTACAGCCTGGCCGCCTAGTTGCAATCCGCAGCGAAGCTTTGTATCTAGGTCTAAGCATTTGCTATTCTCGAGTAATTCGTATGTTTTTGTTTGCCTCCAGCGTCCCTCTTCGACTCCAGCTTCAGCGTCTCACGAGCCACACCAGCCATAACCTTCTCCGTCTCACCACAGAGACCACCGCTTCGAGCACCACCTCTGGGAAAACCGTCACTGGGAAAAAGCACCTCGAGCACCGTCCCCTGAGCACCGTCACTGCGAGCACCGTCCCTGGATTCCTCCACGCCTTCCTTCCCAGCACTACCTCGGCGGCACTTCCCCCTCCTCGGATCCCGGCACGGACAAACCTCCACCTGCACCCCCCCTCGACTGACACTCCTACGGCTGGTTCCTGTCCCCGGTGACCCCCACTCCCTCACCCTTGTTAATAAACCCTTTTTCCTTATAACCTGTTTCTCCTGCCTCCCCTTTTCGTTCGGGTCCGCCCGCACAGCCACCGCACACGGGCCGTCACAATCTAATTGATTTTAAAAAGAGAATATAGTAGCACTGTGTTCCACTCATTCTATAGAAAGATGGGGGTTACCAGGTCTTAGCTGTCTTTCTGTCATAATTCCAGATGTGATGGGGCATGCCCAAATTGTCTTAACTCAAAGCAACCAGTGATTTTTTTAAATCTCCATACAGCATCATAAAGACACAGAGGAAGGTACAGAGCATCGTCTGTCTCCTCAGCTTGTTCACTGCCTGTTAGGCTGGTGGAATTGAAGTAATGAACTATTTTAGTGATGCACATGCAGATTTTACAGCAATAAAATGACAATACTGACATCAGCAGTCATTAATGATGTGCAATGACACTAATTTCCTTTCTGATACCAAAGGCAGTATCCCTGATGCCAGTACTACATGTTCTGTCCAAAACCTTAATGTGTTTAGAAAAGGACAATAAAAGTAGGTGATAATAATATATCTTATACAATTTATGTGAGTACACCCCCGGAGAGTACCACTTAATGTCAAATTATTAAAATTTCATTCCTTCTCAATAATTGTATATTTCTAAGTGTAAGAGAAATCAAAAGCAAAAACTTTAGAAAGACTACATTTAGTGGCGGGCCGTGCATTTTACTTCTAGACCTTCAGTGGCATCCTGCCTGAATCAAACCACCTCTTAACACCATCATTATAACGCCACGGCTATAGAAACCATCAGTATTATACAGAAAGGCAGCATAACAGGACATTGCACCGCAGACAGGTATCTCATGTAGAGAGAATGAATGCCATCACAAAAGCAAGAAACCCAATTAAAACAATTCATCAAGTCTCCTTTGACTGCAGCCACAGCGGCACCATATACATCACATCTAGAAGGCGCATCAATATTAACCCAATAAAATGACAAAAATATAGATTTTACAAGTTTCACCAAAACTTGTGATTATTTGAACCCAAACTCCATCCTCCTTTCTTTCCTCACAAGGAGTTCAGTCACTCTGTTGAGCAGGTAATCCTTGCATTTGGCTAAATTAGCAATCCAGCCAATCAGAGGACATGCTAGCCCTGGGACCACCAACTCAGAATCTAATTGGTTAAAGCAACAGTTTAATTTTGATGCATTTTAAGCTACAGGCACCTGCACTTTTGATTCTGAAGGCCTCCGGGCAGATTTCTGTGACCCTGGCAACACATGACGGCTGAAATATGATTGGATAGAAAAAATTTTTAAAAAGCTCTGACATAAACATAAACTGCTGGAAGCACCACAGCCCAGAGACACGCTATGGAATGAAGAGTATAGACTATTGGGAATAAAGTTAAAAGATTAATGGGAAAATATTGCAACGCAAGTCAGTGACTCTGATAGAGTTTTGGCCAACAGAGAAGGCCTTGCTGGCCCTGACGGCACAACACTGTTGAAAATACAATTGCAAGCAAAAGTTTACATACCAGAAATAGCTGTAGTCAATCGTAGCACCGCACAGGAAGATGAAAGGCAATGTCACTCAGAAATGTTGATTAACACAGCTTTAAACATCACCAAAACTGGAAAAAATAAAGTTGCTATATGTATATTTTTGACCCAGCAGATTTTGTCATATTTCCAGAAGACCTATAATAAATCATAAAGAACCAAAAACATCTACCATTATCAACTTTCAATCAAACAACACACAGTCAAAGGACGAATGAGCAGCAACAAATTTTTACACAGGACCTGGACCTGACAAAAGCAGCAAGGGCAAGGACTAACCTGCAGCAGGTTTGGAGTTTTCCCACGAACTGCGTATTCGGGGCCCCAGTAGCCAAGCTAGCTAGCCAAGTCTTCATGAAGCTACTTGTAGTGGGTATTTACGCACTCAAGCCCGATGGGTAGAAGAGCGACTGGCACGCCACCAACCCTCCCAAAGCCACAGATGTGCTCCTGAGCAAAGCTCCACCCACATTGGCCACAACACTGACCCAAACACCAACAAACCCAAAGGGGAACGCTGCTACAGCCTGCCAGGGAAACACTCCTCACTGCTGACAGCGCTGATGGTCCTACTGCTGATCCCAGCACAGATCACCCACAGCATCCGGAAACAAACAAACCTCTTCTTCTTCGCCTCAAGGTAACACAAACAAAGAAACAAAGTTTATGACAAATATCGACTTACGTCAACTTCAAACCCTTTGCCCTCCTCCCACTCAGTTTCACACACGAAACCAACACCAGTGTCTACCACTGAGTAAACCCCTGGAACCAAGAACATGCAACGAGCTAAACAAACTGAAGAGTTCGTTTGCAAAAACAGATAACTCAATGTTTTGTAGATTTTCAGAAAACTTTTTGTTGCTTGCCTGAGATAATATCAATCAAACTGAAGCTGAGTGGATTTGACTCAGTAGAAATGACATGACAAAAACAGAGATAACTGAAGCTTGATTGATGTTGGCTCAGTCAGATGATGGAAAAGTGGATTTTCTGAAGGTTTGTGAAGATGGAGTTATCTGTTTTAGCAAATGAACTCTTTAATTGTACTCGTGCTCACATTCCAACCTGAGTGTACAATGCCACAACCAAAAGCAGACAAGCCCCCACTTTGTCACAACCTGGCAAAAAGGTTGTGACAAAAGATGGGAGAAGACACAGGTATTGCAATAAGGAAGTCTTATCTTTTATTAAATAATAATTTAATACTAACAAAGTGATAAGTGATAAATCAGTGATATCAGTAGTGTAGCTGTGGATGCCTGGACGCGATGCGGTGTTGTCAGCAGTTTTTAGCACGTTTTTACTCTGGGCTCTATATTTTTAATATAGTCTTTTTTTCTGGTTGTTCATAAGAGGAATGCTCTACTTGTCAGCTTAGATTTAATGATGTTATTGAGAGGTGACACAATTTTGAATCATTTGATGAGTGACTTTGCACATGGGTGCTCTCACTTCTTTTGTTTATTATATCAGCAAACTAAAATATTATTTAAATAATAATAATAACTAAATATGCCACACCAAGTAGCTAATGTTCTCTTATTGTAAATCCACAGATCACCAGTATGTGCCCACTTTGACAAAATGCTCTCAATATGTTTTATTTTTGTATTAGTTGTAGATGCAGCAGTAGAAATCTGGGAAAGACAAGAACTGCTTCATTAATCAGGGATATTTCTACCATACTTAAATATAATTCACTCTTCCCGAGGAGACAGATGACTAGTTTTATTCTGAATTGCTATAGCTGTCTGTTTTTAGACTGTGCTTCACAACTAAAGGCCACTTTTTGCCCGTAGTATCATTGAGCTCAACCCAAGTTGCTCCCAATGTTCTTGATCACCTTGCATGGTATCCCTGTCACCATTGGTGACTGTGTGTGAATGGGTTAATAAGAAACACATTGTAAAGCGCTTTATAGAACTTAGCTAAAGGGCAAACATTTACTATATGATTTTTGTGTGGGCAATGCAGAATTTAAAATCTGACCCACATGTGGTTCCATTCATACCATAACAGGTACATGTCGGTCTGCTGCACAGACAGTCCCATTGCCCCTCGTAGCGAACAATCACCGAAGGCACTCATGGATATTTCTGAAAGGCTGTGACTTTGTGCTTCTTACAGTACATAGCAGCTAGTTACAGAGTGTACAAATAACTAAATATTTTATAGAACTGATGTAATATGCTTCTGGGGAAAAATCTCACTCGAGAAACAACCAAGCTGTTCTGACTAACCAGAAAATGTTTACTCATTTTGTAGCAATTCAGAAATTTAGTTTTATTGTCATTGGAAAGTGTGTAAACAATATAAAGAAAGTAGAAACACAGAGTGCATTGCCACAGCAAAAAAGCATACAAATTCCTACATTGTGATAATTCTGATTCTGAACATGTAAGTTAAAAGACTGGACCCTGCCCATCTGTCTGGTGGTGGCCTGCAAAGCCACTGTTGCTGCCACCTGTGTGCACTGAAAGCATTATATATGTTTTAAAGCCTTTAGCTGCTTCTGTTTTTCAAAATTCAAACCTCTGATTCAGATATACATATTTTTTTTGTATTATTTGAAGTAGAGTGTTTGTGTGTTTACCTTGTTTGTCCCTGCTTATCTCTGAAGTCCTGTCGAGGGAAGGTCGTCCCAACATTTGAATAAACCACCACAGGTTTCCGGTTGCCAGTGTAATCGATGTGTAGCACATATCGTGTGTTCTAAAAACAATGACAAACAAGCTTCACTTACACTGCTCGCTTGAATCTATTCAGCGCTGTAGAAAGTGACCTATGCTGACCAGCTGACCAGCTATACTTGTGGAACGGGGTGTCTGCATTGCTCTGCAAGTACAATCCCAGAACAGTGTAAAGCGGTGGTGTTTCAATGCCACTGTATTCATTTTCTTTATGTTCTTCAAACAATGGCAGCTGAAATAAAGTGGTTCATGTTGGAGTTGGAGCTAACAAATGCTGAACAGCAGCTTTTACCAAAATGTTTGTAATGCAGAAAAGAGAGAAGATGATTTTGACAAGACAGTTACACAAAACACCTACAAGAAGCAAATGTTTAATGTTACCTTTACTTTGTCACAATCATAATCCATCCACCCATCCATACATTATCTATACACCACTTAATCCTCACTAGCGTCGCAGGGGGCTGGAGTCTATCCCAGCTAACTCAGGGCGAAGGCAGAGGACACCCTGGACAGGTCACCAGTCTATCACAGGGCTACACTTAGAGACAGACAACCAATGTCGCCGGTTCGCGTCCCGGTGAGGGCGCAGGGATCTTTCTGCGTGGTGTTTGCATGTTCTCCCCGTGTAGCGTGGGTTCTCTTCAGGTTCTCCGGCTTCCTCCAACAATTCCAAAAATGCAGACCAGTGACATTCTAGCTGCGAGGCAATGGTGCTAACCACTGATCCACCTTGCAGCCCCACAATCATAATGCTCCTGATAATTTTTACCTGAGATCACACCTGAACTGCACCCATGAGCTCTCTTTGACTGGCAGTAACTCTGGCGATAACAGCCTGGCATCATAACAAGGCATGTCTTTTATCTGCCAGGTCCCTTATCCCTTACCCTAATCTTAACCATCTCACATGTTAATTTAAAAATGGAAAAAGTGCAGAAATTACATACAAAATCTGCCAGATGTGCCATTATGTCATTGAGGCCCAAGGTGTCTACAGCTGTTGGTCTAGTTGTTGTTACCCACGAGTTGGCTCACCCAGTTGTCAGTGTTCTGTGCTCTGATCTCCAGGCACCTCTGCAGTCTCTCTCCAACCCCTCCTGCTTTCTGAAACTCTTCTACCAGCGCTTTTGTGCGTTTCAGCTCATCCACCTCCACAATGGGCTCCAGAAGGCTGAGGTAGCGCTCACAGGTCTGCTGCAGAGGGGGGACAGGCATCCTGGGCAGTCCTGTCTGGTGGGTGAAGTATCTGCCAGTCACCAGAGAGGCTGATACAGACTTCACCAAGTGACAGGATTTCACCAAGCCACAGGGATATAGCACCCCAAAGTTTACCTGACAGATACAAGAATGTGTTAGCTGTTACATCAGTTCTGTGAGAGAGGGAACAACAAAGCGAACAAAAAGAAGCAAATAAATGAGGACAAAAACAAGAAAGTAATACAGTTTAAAAAGTGAGAACCGTTTAGGTGGTTCACAGAAAGTAAAATAAATTACATTACAATATGTCAACAAAAGGCAAACTAGTTATAAACACTACCTTTATGCAAGCATGCAGAGATAATGGTACCCCAAAAATGTTTTCTAGCTGATGGAACTTCAGTGTCCTACATTATAAAGAGATACAGTTAAATGAAGAGATGTTACTTACCATCGTTCTGGTGCAAATTCTCAACATTGTGCCTTCAGAGAAATATCTATAGATTGAGGCCTGACAGTATTCAACTGTTCAAATGGCTCTGCAAAAGAAGAGCTTCTAGTAAGAAAAGAGAAGATGGAAACCACTCCTCTGTTCCTAATGTTCACACTAAGAATTATCCTGAATAAACAGTATAAAAGGCTGTCAGTTGAAGGTTTGTGAGTACTTCTGTGCTGCAGAACATATAAGCAATCGTTCAATTAGCTCCCACCATCAGATATAGTACTAGAACATTTATTTGTGTGAGTTTAGCAACCGATACAGGCAAAATCCCCTGCAGAGGTGGAGAACCAATGAGTAGCTTATCAAATTCTCAGCATCCTGAGTATTTGGGAATACTGTTAAGACACTGCTCAACTAGCTGTTCCCAAAACACAAGTCAGTTCCAAATTATGCTTAAATTTTTGTGAACCTTTTAGAGTTTATCATATTTCTGCATAAATGACCCAAAACATCATCAGATTGTCATTCAAGTACTAAAAGTAGATCAAGATAACCCAATTCAACAAACAAGACAAAAAATGTAACTTGGTCATTGATTTATTGAGGACAATAATCCAACATTGCGTGTCTGTGAGTGGCAAAAGTTGCAGACTACTCTGATGTTTCACAAAAGGGAGAAGAATTATCCGTGGATCAATGTTGTGAGCAATCTGATCTACCATTTGAGAGAAATAAAGTCTTGACAAATATTAGGAAGAGACTGGCTCCACTTTAGGCAGTTGAGCAATCAATTTATAACTAATATCAAAAGTGTAGTATTTTCTAAGGGTATTATTTCATGTTTGTCTAATTATTTAACGCATCAAATGTTAATAATATTTAAATAGACCACATAGCATATAAACTCTCAAACAGAATGACACTGGACATTGAAAAAAAAATGTTTTTTTAAATGTTATTTTATTTGCCCTTTATTTTACCAGGTAAATATATTTGAGAACCAGTTCTCATTTGCAAACATGAGCTGGTCAAGAGGCACCAGCAGGAACAAATACACATGTAAATTATAGACACAAATATACACATAAACATAACATAGAGCAAAAGTAAACAAGTAAGAAGCATGGGGGCGTATGCATGTGAGTGAGAAATGTTATTCAGGGTCAGAGATGGCCGTTCTGATTATTTGTCTTTCTGGATGTAGAGTAAAGCCATTTGAAAAAAAAAAAGTAAGAAGTCATTTTACGCATTGCATTGATACATGTACAACTGTAGTGAAGTGCATTTAACTATACAGCTGGCTGTGTTGTGTCCTCCTCATTCTAAAGATTAGTAGATTCTGTGGCTTGGCCATAAAATCATTCTTTCATGTCATGTTAACATTTAGAAGGTCTAATTTGGATGAGCAAGCTCAATGGCTGCGTTCTCAAATACCCGGAGGACTTGTGTTACACTTCAGTACACCGTATCTGAGAATCTATCAGTTTGTTTGATGTGGAAGAAAGTGATCACATCCTCCACAGGGCCCCAAAAGCCCTGAGGCCAGCACTGCAAGTATTTATCCAGTAGAACTGGTACTGTAAATATAGACATAGCTGACATGATGTTAACTAAAGATCTCTGAATGACAGAAGCACTCCTACTGCACATTGCCATTGACAACATCAGTGATACATCATGCCGAGCTGATGCTGAATCTTGATGCAATAATGAAATTATCATATCAGTCAATGTCACAAATTAACTGGGGTAAATATGTCCCAAGAAATCTCGAAATTGTACTTACTTTTGGGGCAATTGCCTGGAATTCAATAGTAAATTAGCAAATTTATTTTTCTAAGTTTTCTAAGAAAATTTCATGTGTTCTCAGGTGTGGTAACAATTACACTGTAACAGTACACTGTAATGTAATACAGTGTACCTAATACTTAGTACTTCAAATATGTTCTGGATTGTCAGGTGTTTCAGGAGGACTGTGATAGCCATTTTGTGATGTTTTTGTCACGGTTTCACAGGTAAACCAGGTGCAGACATTAAACGCAAGCAGACTCGAAATTAGTAACAGACGTTTATTACAGTAACAGGAATACAAGGAAACAAGGGCATACACAGGGAACGGGGAATGATGCAGGTGATTTGGGGCGGTGACTGGAAGATGGGAAGATGAACCGGTTTTCTTTTGCAGCAGGAAGACGAGGAGGATGAGGGATAAACAGACTGAAGTAAATATGGTAAACTGAGCTTATTATAGAGGCACTCCAAGAACTTTGCAGATAAGCTAGGTATGTAGCTAGAAGATCCCTGGTTCACGTCCTGGTTAGGAGTTTGCATGTTCTCCCCGTGCAGCGTGGGTTTTCTCAGGGTTCTCTGGTTTCCTCCCACAGTCCAAAAACATGTTGAAGTTAATTGGTGATTCTAAATTGTCCGTAGGTGTGAATGTGAGTGTGTTTGGTTGTCTGTCACTATCTCTCTATCTGGCAGCCTGTCCAGGGTGTCCCCTGCCTTCACTCTGAGTTAACTAATAATTCATATCATGGCAAGAACGACCCAACTAAGTAAACTGAAACAACAGTCCATCCTTACTTTAAGACCTTTCCTCCCCCAGTCTAAACCCAGCTGAGGTGGTTTGGGATGAGTTGGAGTACAAAGTGATAGAAAAGAAGCCAAGACATTTGGAAAAGCTCCAGGTGTTAAAGCTGTTATCAAAGTAAAGAAAACCCCTTGATTGAGTGCCTGTGTCCACACTGGTACAACAACTGCACAAAAAACAATGCAGTTTTAGAGTAATGAGGTCAATCCTGCAAGACCTCCAACAATCCACAGGATGGCACCACTGTCTCTCTGTGTTATCTACAGTTGTCCTGCCACAAGCCTCTGTCATACTTGATAACGTCCATCCATCCATTATCTATACACCGCTTAGTCCTCACTAGGGTCACAGGGGACTGGAGTCTATCCCAGCTGACTGGGCGAAGGCAGGGGACACCCTGGACAGGTCACCAGTCTATCACAGGGCTACACTTAGAGACAGACAACCAAGCACAACCAATCACCCTTCGGGTATTTGGGATTCTTAATAATTAGTTCTTTTGTATCAAGAGGTTGTCAGTTATACATGGTGTTTGCAGTTGTTTTTCAGAAAGAAGTTGTCAAGTTGTGAATCCTCCTGCAGTCAGGACACCAAAAAAGACAAATGTCCTGCTGCAGGATAAACCACAGTTTGACAAGGCAACCCCAAACCTCAAATGAATAATCATTAAAGGTCTGATACTACTACTACTAAAATAATAATAATAATAATAATAATAATAATAATAACATATATGTTATATGCGTGTGTGTGTGTGTGTGTGTGTGTGTGTGTGTGTGTGTGTGTGTTGTTTTACAGACTAGCTCTGTGTGCAGAACATGTAGATGTGTAAGAACACATCTGCTGAGAGCAGTCGGGGATGTGTCCCACTTTGTCCCACGTTCTTGAACGCAACAACTTTTGCTTTGAGAAATGACGTGTCAAGAAAGTGCCGGAAGCTTTCAATCTGTCCAAAATGGCCTACCAGACACTACAACAGGAGTACCTACAGATTCCTGTTGTTACCAGGGCATACACGACCGCCTGCGTCCTCACAACTGCTGCAGTGGTAAGAACATTTCAAGTGTTCTGTGTGTTCGGCAGGATCATCTGGTGCCGCTTCAAAACAGCTGGCGTAAGGTCGTTTCTCTCCTGCTAGCTCGGTGGTTTAGCTACAGCTCTGTGAGAGGGATACGTGTCTATACTCGGTTGTCCACAATGGTAGCAGTCATGTTCAAGGCTCAAAAAGCTAAAGCAGAACCGAGCAACCCGTGGTCAGAGCCCTGGCTCTTCTCTTCGTCAGTCAGTCAGCATTATAAGCAGCAGCTTTGTTGCGTTTCCGTAGCCTGGCTAATAAGCCACAGCTATGGTATGTTTGGCTGTTAATGCTGCAAGGTAACAATGTGCTGCTCAGTGTACAGGGCACCACATATACCTTGTTTAGAAAATATATTCATTTCCCGTGGAAAAGTAAAGAGGTGTTATCTCTGAAGTGTATAAAAGTAAACGTATCAAAAGTAAGAGTCCTCATTTTAGAGTTTTGTACCATTATATGTTATCCTGTTGTTTTACTACCAGTCTGTGTATCGACATGAGGTGTATTTTGGTCTTTAACCTTATTTCACTCTATATTGTTTGGTAGGTTTCCCACAATACATAACATGTTATAATTACACTGTGCACTTCTAAAGTCCCGTAAAGTGAAACTGGTGTTTTGGCTACTTTAGTCGTTTGAATTTAAGACCTTAACACAACAGTGACACAACAAATAGAGACTGGCTTTATAGATACCTTCACTGGCCGCTGTATGAGTTACACGTGTGAAATCTAATGCAATCCAATGCAACAGCTCTGACATGAATTTTAATTTTACAAAACTTGTGCACTTGAAATTTTTGTTGACATTGTCAGAAAGATGATGATTCTACATTTTGTTTAATAGTGAAGTCATAGTGGGTGGCACTGGACTGCATTACGTTTAAGTCCTCCTAGTATTTTGTCCCTTTCATGTATGCTAATAGGATGAACAAAATGTTACTAACAAAAATGTGGGAGCTTTAAACACGTCAAATTTAATAGCAGAGCTGTTGTATTGGATTGCATTGTAGATGAATTAGTAGGGTGGGTGAATAGATAGATGCACTGTTAACAGTCTACTATTGGCATACTGTTGACAGGTTTTTTGTTTTTGTTTGTTTTTTATGTATTTATTTGGACAGACAGTACGTATTAATGACGTACAATCACAGGTTGCAGTACATACGCCGGATTTAGCACAGGGCTAATTTCCATCTGGTGTCCCCCACATACATAAAAGAAAAACACACAGGGAAACAAAGGTATGAAATAAAAATAAATAAAAAATAGTAGTAATAAAATAAATAAAAAAGACAATAGTAAAACAAAGACAGTGGTGATATGATTGAGTCAGACTGGGTCATACCCTAAAGTGCTGTTGTGTCTGTAAAGTGCTTTTAGACATAGCCTGTCGGTACTTTATATGTTGGCATAAAATCCAAAACAGAGACTTAATGCAACAAAGCTGAATACATCTGACACCCTGACCCACAAGTTAGAGAACCTGTGATCACTTGAACAACACTGAGTAAACCTGTGATTTCCAAATAGCCTACCTGTATGGTTATAAAATTACCTGTGAACACCAGAACTTTCTCAGTTTATGACCTATGGGCTGTGTCTATCTCCATGACAGCATTGTGGCTTCACATAGAAAAGAATTACCAGAGCAGCAGAAACCTCTGATTGTGAGAGTTTGCAAAGGTGGAAATGGATACAAGAGATTGCTGACAAACTGTAGTCAGTGGGTACACAGTTGCAGCGGTAATCAGAAGGCATAGAACGAGCCATGGTACCCTAATTCAGAGCTGTAGTGATCGTCCTCATAAAATGACAATATGGACATTGCAGGGGTCATCACTTGAAATCAGACTTTCTGTGACAGCTCAGACAGTGTGAATGACACTGCTTGATGTCAAACTCTATGAAGTCATTCCAGAAAAGAAAACCTTTGCTTACTCTTCGGCACAAACTTTGCTAAAGAACATGAAAAAAACCCTGATAAATATTGAAAGTACATTTTCTGGTCAAATGAGACTAAGATTATTTGTTGAGCTAATATGGGGTCCAGCAGAGTTGGCGTGAATCTGGCCAGGTCTACCACAGTTCACTTCATCGTTCTGACAGTGAAGCACAGATTTGGTTACTGTCGTGATATGGGGCAAAAGGTGTTGGAGAGATAACATTTACAGTTGGCTCCATGAATGCCTGTAGATACATCAGAGTTTTGACTGACAAGATGACTTCCCAAGAGGGTTAGCAGAAGAGGAATATTACAGCATGATAACCATTCAACCAATTATGTCAACTGACAACAGGTTTTTGTTGCATTGAATGCCTATTGTGGGTCTTCTGTATTTAGTAAAGTCGATCTGAACAGCTTTTTTCGTTAACATAAGAGCAAATACCTTACTCCTCAAACCAGGGGTAATGCAATTAATTTAAGGTTAAATCATTAAAAAGTTATGTGATATTATGTGTCATGTACTCATTCAGTGATAAAGTGGAAAATTTTACAAGCACAGAACATATAAAAAGGCTTTTTGTTCTGCAGTTGTCACAGTGGAGTCAGACAGTCAAAACAGGAAATCATGGGTTTAGTGGTATCAGATGCACATCTGTAGCACTGCTCTTAGGCCTAGCAAGAGATTTGAAGAACTGAAACGCTGTGATCTAGGAAAATATTAATGTCTTTTCATGTGCAAATATAATGCATTCTGAGCTGATACAACAGACACCTGAACTTCATCAGTGATACCTCCTTCATCTCCCCCAAAATGTCACTCAGCTACTCAAATGTACCACCTTACTATCAGCAGATTTAAGCCTGACTGCTTTGAGTGACTGGTGGGTACAGGACAGTCCATGCCCACTTCAGCCCCAATCACACTTAAGCCCGGTTCCCTGTTTTTGAATAACAGGGGATTAGGCAGACTCCAGCAAGGCAAAACGGCGATGGCCAGAGCCGCCACACTCGACTTCAAAATTGTTTGTAAGGAAACCTCTGGGTGACTCTAGGGAGGGTTTGTCTTTCTTTATATACATTCCATGATGCAGATGCGCCAGAATATAAACAAATAGGCTCAAAACATAAAGGTGTCAACAATTTCAAGTTCAATATCCAGAAACAATGTTTCCGTATGTTGAACTGATTTTGATGAATTTTTCATCAGTTTTCACCAAATTAGTTGTGCGGTGTGAAACACAGTTGGCAGATGTTGCACTGGTGTCATTTTTTCCTCATGACCAAATGTGGAAACCTGACACTGTGCGAGAATTGACAGAATAGAAAAACTGGGCAGCTGAAGTATTTGCATGTAGTTCAAAATTGCATGCAGTTTAGGGTTAAAACAGGATGTTGTGTTGTTGGCAGCTACATGTAGATGTGTATGAGGAGTATAAATGACAGAAGACATTTTAATGTGGTTAATAAAACCGAAAGCAATGAACCTTTCTTAATAGAGTACACTAAGCTTTGATTCGCATACCTGGAAGTTGAAGTTGTTCCAGTTTGAGAGCTGGAGCATTCTTGCTGATGCTGGCAGCTCCACTTAAACCTGGTGATTACACTGAGTCACGTGGGAGTCTGTGTGTGAGACTGGGTAGTCTCACCTGGGAGGCACGCATTACACTTCCTAATAGTCTTTATTTGGATAAATTAGGCACAAACCAAAAAAATCTAAATGGCTATTTTCTTGCTTTATTATGCAAGCAAAAAGTTAATAAAGTGAGGAGCAGGAATAACAGTGCAGCAAAATTCAGCGTGGCTCAAAACCCCCACCCGTACCATTGGGTGGTGCAAACGTCCACACACACGAAACGGTTCCCAATGTATCCTCGATAAAATGGGAAGAGCAAGATTACTTGAAGTTATTTGGACTGTACTGTATTTGCAAACAACAAAATATTACATCACAAATGCATTCAGTGGGAAAAACGTGGTTTGCATATATACGTATGTTTTTGGTTGTCAAAGTTGGATCATTTTATGATATTTTCTTTGTTAGACTTTTTAACATGATCTTTCTTTTGTCTTCTCTCACAGCAACTAGAGATCATCACACCATTTCAGCTGTACTTCAATCCCGATTTGATCCTAAGGAATTACCAGGTGAAAAATCTGACCCACCCCTTTGGGCACATAACAGTTCATATACTTGAAGCAGCACTATAACAAATCAGTGTTGTCTTATGCTAAGTTTGATTGTAAGAATTGTTTTTAATTAAATAAAAAAAGATGTCCATGCTGTTTATCAAGATTGTCTGTTTTTTTTCTCATCATATTGAAATCACATAGAATTAGACAGTTGTCATTCATAATGCAGTCAGTCTCAGGTCAGTATCTTGACTAATCAACAGTTAAGCAAAGCTGCTTTAATGTTTTTGAGTCACAGAAATGACACTGTATGTTATCTGCAGCGAATGACCTCTTTCTCTCTCTCTGTCTTTCTCTAGGTATGGCGATTAATAACCAACTTCCTGTTTTTTGGTCCGGTTGGCTTCAATTTCCTGTTCAATATGATTTTTCTGTATCCTTCTCAGCTCCAAGGCTCACTGCGTTCAGCATCGTTAGTGAATTTGCATACTTTCTGTTTCGCAGGCGTCGGCTCTATTTGGTTTCAGAGACAGGATGAGGAAACTTTACACTAAGATGCAGTTTGCATAAACAAATAGACACTGTAAATGCTGTCCCATGCACTATTATTTATACCAAACACAAATATGATGCTTTACTTTTACCCATTTAGGTGATGAGGATGTTTCTCACAGAATTGCTACGCAGGTTTGTCTTAACCATCTGCCTTCAGGTACAGATACTGTCGTATGCTGGAGGAGGGATCTTTCAGGGGACGAACGGCTGACTTCGTCTTCATGTTCCTCTTTGGTGGGCTGCTAATGACTGTATCCTTCCTCTGTCTTTCTCTCTTGCTATATAAGTATGTATCTATGTGTATATACATATACATAAATCCACCCATTGTCTATCTACCACTTAATCCTCTTTGGGGTTCCTAACTGTCTTGGGGCAAAGGCAGGGGACACCCTGAAGAGGTACACACACACACACACACACACATATACATATTGTGTGTACATATATATATGTATGTCTTGTTGCTATTTTAACAACCTAATGGAGACTGGGATGAATGACAGGTAGAGGAAGTTGGGTGAGGGTTAGAAAGGGTTAGGAAGATGTTTCCTGCCGCGACCAGCGAGCAATTTGGTAGGACCATGTTCAGCTTGTTTTTTTCTTGGTGTAGTGCTGTCTTGGAGATATTCATTTTTTTTGCTCCCTGTCTCTCACTCATGCCAGTTTGAGTGAGCCAGCTGCATGTTTTGTCGTGTTCATTGTATTCTTCAGGTATTATACCTTTAGTGGTAGCAGGCATTAAAATGAACCAGAAATTGAAGATAACAAGGGTGGTCTAATAATTTTTGTCCATAACTGTAAATATCCTGCCTTTGGCTTAAGTCTACTGGGATTGGCTCCTGTAGAGCAGCAGTAAACCAGTAATCAACAGAAGCATAGCACTGGTACTCTGAGCTTAGTCCTAGAACAAGAGTTGAACACCATATACCATCAGACTCTTTTCAGACTCAGCACTACTGTTAATAGTGAGATTTGTCCAGTCTGTAACTAACCTAAAACACATCATATATGTTAGAAGCAGCACCAGCAAAGATGTACATTAGTTTGACACTTTCTTTAACAAGGTTTCAGATATTTGGCACTTTCGTGAGTCTGGTGTTCCTGGGCCAAGCCTTCACCATCATGCTGGTGTACGTATGGAGTCGACGGAACCCAAACGTTCGCATGAATTTCTTTGGCCTTCTCAATTTCCAGGCACCCTTCTTGCCTTGGGTGCTGATGGGATTCTCACTTCTGCTGGGCAACTCCATCATCGTGGATCTTTTAGGTACTTATCACTGCCATCTGCAGTCAGTATTTAGAACTTTGCTGATACCCCAAGAACCAAACTAAATGTATGTGCTTTTATGGTGTGTATAATGAATACTGTGTTGGTTAAAATGTGTTTTGTTAAATGTGTCTTGAGGTATCGCTGTTGGTCATGTGTACTTCTTCCTGGAAGATGTTTTCCCCAACCAGCCCGGTGGTGGAAGGTGGCTTAGGACCCCATCTATCATGTGAGTCTGTAGTTTTTTTTTTATGTTATTGATAATTTCAAACAAGTCAGATGCAACCTTAAATACACAGTGCTCTTTGAAAGTGTGTGAATAATTGGATGAATCCTTTAAGGAGTGGTTGATAGTTGTTCAAGATGCTCTTAACACAGCACTCAGGTAGATATATGAACACTGCTGTAATTCTTCCTACTGGTCATATTAGACATTAAGACGTCCATTCCCAAATCAATTTGATATTAAGTAATGGGGGGACAATATACACATTCCTTGTTCTCAACACAAATACATGCCGATGTTTACCGGAAACCGATGTAAGGTTTGAGCTGACTGTATTGTTTGGATAAAGTGTTTCCAAGTTCATGTCTTCAGTCTGAAATGACCTTTTGTGTGGCTACCCCTCCACCCGATCTCAAGAAAAAAATGTGGATTTTCAAACTAAAAACTATTACCATGAATTGTATTAAGAAGGGATCCTTCAATGACCAGCATAACTGCAGCAAGAGAATTTTTTTAAATGTATATTTGGTCACCTGACTATTGTTTTAAGGATAGACTGGAAGAACCATCCTTTAAAAAAAATAAAAAATGGATTATGGGAAATATCCCCTTGGTACTACACCTGTGCTCTTTGCCTTGTGCAAAATATTTGTCACGGGTGTTCCAAATTACATGAAAGGTTATAGTTTCAGCAAATCTTTCGGAATCCTCATTTTGTAAGCATTAGTGAGCAGTGAATCTGGCCAGCAGTTGTCAGGATGTGTTTGACAGACAGACTTACCAACACAGCCATTCTTAGGTTGCACCACAAGCAGAGCCAAAAGCCCTGGTCACGCAGAGAAGTCTAGTCTGTTTTTGTTTTCCTATCCATTCCTTTGTGTTTGTAGTATTCCTTCATCCTTCTCACACTATGTGTCCCCCACAGAAAGATGCTGTTTGACACTCCAGAGGAAGATGCCAATTACAACCCCCTGCCCGAGGAGCGCCCTGGAGGGTTTGCCTGGGGAGAGGGACAACGCCTTGGAGGTTAGATACGACCTCCACATCATCCCTGATTGCCAGGTCACTTCCAAGGACCTTCTCTCAGAGAGATGAAGCGGACGAACATGGTCTTTGTTTTTGACATGTTTGTTTAGTTCTGGATGAAAAATGCCAAACAATCAGAACTCGTTTGGAGATAACCGTCTGTTGTCTTTGTATATGGGCTTTAATCATCCTCAGAAACTCTTCTTGATGCCAGATCATCGCTCTAAGACTCTTTGAAAGAACACAAGCTACGGATGGAAGTTTGGACAGTAAACCTTTGGGTTCGGATAACGGTTGTTTTCATCTCGGAAAAAAATAAAATTGACATACAGCTATATGAAAGAGGAAGAATGACGGCAGTAAAATATTATCAAAAATAATTTATTTAGATGGCGAGTGCATTTTTTTTCATTTCACTTTTTTAAAGAATAAATGTGTGTGGCAAATGATCTGTTTGTTTCATCTCTTTCAACTGTTTTAACATTGCTCGAAACTCTCAACACGTCTCAACAAATTACAGTAATACTAAAGACATTTTGGAACGGCTCTTGCAATTTAGTTTTCTCATTGTAACATACAGATATCAGGATTTGTTCTATGCCCTCAGTTTATTAGTCCAGCTTGTTGGGTTTACTTTTCAGAGCTGTACTCCGTTTTTCATTTTGTTCGACACAGCTCTAAATCACATCCACCACATCACCAATCCACTCTCCAAAATGAGTCCTGCCTTTTGTTAGTATGTAAAAGTACTTTTGGCTTATGTAATAGATTGTTCTTATGTTCATGTTTTTTTTGTTTGTTTTGTTATGTTTTTATGTACGCTTGCATGGGTCAGAAAAAAACCTTCAAGGGCCTTTAACTGAATTTCCAATAATCAATTTGCTAGTTGAGAAGAGGAATATAGAGTAATGAGCACAGCATTTTATGTGATACAGCCGATTGTGTTGTTCTGTTTTATTTTACACAGCTGTCAAGAAAAGGTCTATACAGTTGAGGTTGGATTTTATTACTGCAGGTGTGAATGACTTCACAAATCCTCATTAAGGGACTTCATGCAGGTATCCTGTAATGTCATAATCAATGTGCTGTTGTTTTTCAGTGTCCTTTTTACATTCTTACAGCTAATTCCTGCGTGTGTGCCTCAAATGTTTTATTTTAAACGAATCAAATAGTAGTTTTCAATTGTATTACAGCTCATTAAATTACAAGGAAATGTGAGTACTCCTCAAAGAGATGGAAATGCTGGAGAAACTCTGCGTTATACAGACTTCTACTGTGGATCAGTAGGGGCGCTAATGAGCAATAGAAATTGTTCCTCTGCCTTGAAAGAACGAAGAGTTTTATCCAATGCAGCGTTTATGATTTTCGGAAAAGTCCTGACTAAGATTAGATGGTTTTACTGAACATGCTTTCTAAATTGGAACATATGCATCAATAGCTGTAGTTTTCCGTTTATCCTGGCTGCTCTTGTTGTTATTTTACACTGAAGGAGCAGACATCCTCTCAGCTAGCGTGTTCTTACATGCAGAAAGCTGAAGAAAACGAGATTTTTAGGGAGCCTCTGATTTCGGAGCTTCGCCGTTGGTCCCGAACGCACCTGAAGAGGAGAAGGCTACTTAGTTAGCTGGATAGCGACAGCGTGAAGATGCAATTGGCTCTAAGTAAAACGTTTGGCCAGAAGCCTGTTAAATTTCAGTTAGAACAAGATGGGGACTTTTACATGGTGGGCTCGGAGGTACGTGACTCTCGGTTCATTGACTTTCAGTGCTTAGCCCCCCCAGCACTAGCCTCAGTTATCCATTCTTCTGGCTAGTTGATGCTAACATGCTAACGAGCTCCATTGATGGTTTAATAACAAAGAAACGCTTGAAAACGAACAACGGGCTTCAGGTTAACTCATAGCCTAATGTCAGCCCAGCCACCGGCAAATCAAACATTTATTTATGTTGTTTCAAACCAAATACCAGATGGCTATTGTTTTGCAGCAACTTCTTATTCCAGTCTGCTGTAATGTAACGTTCGTTACTTCAGTAAGTTGCGCGTGCCCACTACGTTACATGGACAAGAAGTGATGAGCGAAAAAGTCGCGTGCGTGTTGAACCCAGATGGGAATCCATCCAAGTTCATTTCGGCTTCAGATGCCAGTTTTGAACCTGCCATTTGCACTGATTTCGGTACAAGCTTGACTCAGAATACATTTGTGGTTGTCTGCTGCTCTCTGGAAATACTTTTTTATGGTCTTTGTATGATGTGAGCTGTAAAAAAAATGATGTTTTAAAGAACAGCTCCAGCTTTTGCCCGCTGTTGAATTTAAACAGTAAATTATTCAGTTTTGGCATTGAGAAAAATGCTTTTAAGTGGCTAAAGAACCGAGTGGAAGAAGCTCCTGTGGTCTTGTGAGACCAAGGTTTTATGAAAACTTTTTTTTAAAAAATTATTATTATTACTTTTAATACCTATACTTGCATATATTCATATTTTACTTCTCCCTCATCAATGAGAACATTTGTAGGTATCCACAGTGTCATTCTTTCTGGGACTAATGTCATTATTTTACTCTTCATGTTGTATGGTTCTCATTACAGATATCTACAGCTGAATTATGACTAGTTGCACTTTCTGTTGTAAATATGTACAGCTTAATTCCGACTAATCATAACTAGTTTAAGATATATTTAATCCCCCTCTATTCAGGAAACTGACATTGTTCTTTTTAGATATTCTAAGTTAGGTTTAAACCAGTCAGAATGACATGTCGATCTCTCAGACAGGAGTTATAACTCGTCAAAACAGGTATCTTGAGTTGGAATTTTGACTTGGCAAAATTACACTGCAGATATCTGTAATGTCATCAGAAACTACAGGATGTCAGAGGCATCCTGTAAGCAGTCTCTGTTTGAGACGGCTTGCCTTTTCAAAACACGATTGCACATACGTGTCACTGGCATGTCAGAGCAGCACGAGGCCACAGCTCCATTTTTACCACAAGTCTCAACAAACCTCTCATTCTCCACAATCTCCTCACTGATGAGCTCTTCATATTTAATGCTATTTTCTAAAGATCTTACGCACTACAGCAGCCGCTCTTACTTCTGCTAAAATTATTTAAATGCTTTGCTGGACCAATGTCCAGTGGGAAGCTTTGAATGAGCGGTGTAGTGGACAGCAATCATAATGACGTTTGAAATATCTGCAAATATTATTTTTAGTCCAACGTTACGTTAACGTGAAAGATATCTGGATTAAAAAATTGTGACTAGTCGCATTGTAACTACAACTGATCAAAAAATAGCTTTGTTGATATCTGTAATTTTGTTTCCATGCAGTCATACTCAGTTGTTAAATGTTAAAACAGCTTGCCATGAACTAGCTTTTTGAACATCTTCATTGTGAAGGTGGAAGATGGAAGATGCTATGGTGACGCTTCTCTGCTGCAGGAAGTGGAGAGCTTGTGAGGGCAGAGGGTCAGTCATTGAAGCAGAAATTTGGAGGTCTGCAATGGAAACTTGAGAGAGGGAGAGAGAGAGAGAGAGAGATAAATCTGAGTATACAAACATCTAAAGTGCAGTTGTTTGTCCTAGGATTACTGGTTTGAAAGCTAGTGTTTGTTAAAAGACTGGCTATTGGATTAGTATTTACAATCTGAATGCATTTAAGGAAATTATTTCCGAGTCAAAATCTACCAAAGACATTAAACCTGGATGGTTGCTTTTGATGTCTTGTCTGCAAGTCTCAGTGTTGTTTTATTCACAGTAGATCTTTGGAGATGTTTTTTTTTCCGCCAAAAAAAAAAAAAAATATTTTGTACATGTTATTCGGTTGACTTTTTGGCAGTTTGTTCAATTTTGGATTACTAAAGGATGTGCCTTCTGCTGTCAAGGTTGGAAACTATCTACGGATGTTCAGAGGCTCTCTTTATAAAAGATACCCATCTTTATGGAGGAGGCTGGCCTCTGTGGAGGAGAGGAAGAAAATTGTAGCATCATCACACGGTGAGTGGCTTGTCTGGTTCTACACAGTCGATACCCAGAGTCTTTGTAACTTTCAGCTGTTCAGCTTGATAACTGGAAGTCCTCCAGCATATTGGAGGTGGTAAAACTGATGGTAAATATGACCAGTTTTAAGGCTGTTTTCCCATGACTGGAACTTGTTAAGGTGAACCGACCCTTTCAGTGTGTCCCCAATGCATGAAATGCCCCTGAACAACCTCTTTCAGAGTTGTTTTTGTGGAAGACAAAAGTACCTAATAGTAGTCCTCTGATATAGGGCTGGTTTCTGCACCAGAAAATAGTCAAATGATATCAGCCACACTGAAAAAGCCCGTAAGTTCCTGCAGTGGGAAACAGCTGTATGCTGGAGGAACATTACAATTAAAGCTGCATAGCTCCAAACATCAGCGTTAGAAGAAGTATTTTCCTTTGCACACCAAAAATAGCCAAGTAAAGTCCAACAATCAATTTTTAACTCTGAGGAAAAGTATAAAAGTATTAAATGTAAATGGTAGCAACAAAATGAAACTACTGCAAATGTAGAATGCCCCTTTTATATAATATTAATGCGCCCTTCTTCTTGTCAGACAAATTTAAATTTTTCCGTTCGCAGGGCCTTTGCTCTATAGTGATTTCGTTGTTCTCATACAATGACAAAGAAATTCTGATTCTGATTCCGATGTATGTTTCATGTGAGTGGATCAAATGTTTTCATGTAGAATCAAAGAAAGTTTTTTTTTTTTTTTTTTTTTTTCAGAAATAGAATTCAAGTATTAAGTAGCACAAACTATAAAGTAACTTCAAATTACTTTGCAGTACAACACTTGAGTACATGTTTGTTATCTTTCACCACTGCCATGTTTGTTCCCGTAATATATACCACTCTAAATCTGAGCAAAGGTCCACATCTTTTTTCCCTTGTCCATGTGTAGCCACCAGTGTTACTTTGCTGAAGGCTTCAGAATGTGAAGAGATCTTTGAGGGTAATGATGAGAAATACAAGGCGGTGTCCATCAGCACAGAGCCCCCAGCCTACCTCAGGTAACCTCCTGCCAGAATATTACTAATGGTGCAACAGTTAAGGTTTTGTTTTATTTTTGAATGTGTGTGTTTATGTCTCCTTGTTTCAATTCAATTCAGTTTTATTTATATAGAAGGAATTCACAACATATGTGATCTCACAGCGCTTAACATAGTAAGGTGCAGACCTTACAAATTTTCAACAGAGATTACTGCCCATATTTCCACCAGCAGGCTTCTGTTTGTTCTGGTTTTATTTTCTGTGAACATGACAAAGAGGACATTATTTAGTTGCATTGTGGGAAACTCAGGTTCCAGCTGTTTTTAAGTTTGACTCATACTAAAGATTGAAAATATTTCACCCTCTGCTGTGCTAATTCTGTTTGTTCCTTGTGAGACCAACAACGTTACGGACAAACTTATTTTCCGGCATACTTCTAACAGAACATCTCACTGCTGTTTGTTTGACCTTCTGTATTAAGGGAGCAAAAGGCAAAGAGAAGCAGTCAGTGGGTCCCCACGCTGCCAAACAGCTCTCACCATCTTGATGCTGTGCCTTGCTCCACCACCATCAACCGTAACCGAATGGGCCGTGACAAGAAGAGGACCTTCCCCCTGTGGTAACACGGCGTTTTGTTTACTTTGTTGCTTCGTATTTAGTCAGTCCTGTTTTACATGTTCTACTTGTACTTTAGGTTGCTACAATAACTCCTTCATTGTACACATAAATATATTTTCGGGTCGTATTGATGTCAACTTAAAAGGTGTATCTATTCTTTAAGCAGTACTGATGTTGATATGAGAATGACCATATTCTGTTAAAATAACATTAAGAATTGCTTAGTGAAAGAAAAACAATCAAACAAAGAGTTGTGTGAATTTTTGTCAGCTTCGATGACCACGACCCTGCAGTGATCCACGAGAATGCAGCCCAGATAGAGGCTCTGGTTCCCATTCGTCTCGACATGGAGATAGATGGGCAGAAACTACGAGATGCCTTCACATGGAACATGAATGGTAAATACATCCCCAGTGACTTGCCAACATCTGAAACATCCAGTGTTGTCTCCTCCTCTAATTTCTCTGCCTTCTCCTCAGAGAAACTGATGACCCCAGAGATGTTTGCAGAGATTTTGTGTGATGATCTGGACCTAAATCCTCTGGCCTTTGTGCCAGCCATTGCCTCAGCTATTCGTCAGCAGATTGAGTCCTATCCCACTGACAGCATACTCGAGGAGCAGGCAGACCAAAGAGTCATCATCAAGGTAGGTGCTGCACCGAAGCAATAAAAAAATCCTTTGCAGATGCACAGAATGTCATGGAGCTTTGTAGAAATACACTAGAACAAGGTTTTCCAAGAATGAATATTTTTCTGGATTATTCTGATACTAAGTAAAACATGAAAATCAAAGGTTGTCTGGCAAGTTCTGCACTCATGAGGAGAATGATTCCCCTTGATTGTTAAGTGGATTTAAGGATGCTTAATAAAATATGTATCATATGATTATATATCATATTACATTGATTGATTTCACATTGTGAATTTCCCAAGTGAAGGATCAATAAAGTTTATCTTATCTTATCTTGCAAACTGCATCACTTTGGCGCTAAGGGCTACTTTAATTCCCTCCATGAGATGTATCGCAACCACTGCTGCACCTCGAGCACATTACACAAGTGGTCAAATCAGCAGCATAAAATATGATAACTTTCTCTAGTTGTTGCCTGAAAACCTGCACACCCGCCTCCACAATGATGGTAATAGCTACATTTTAACTCTGCAGAGATTTATTTCCAACTCTTTATTTATTATATCTTTATTTCCAACTCTTACTTCTAACGATACACCTATAGCTGTATTTAATATTCAAACCCTGGCTTCTGTGGCAGCGGGCCTTTGACAAGCAAGGTGGTTATCAGCTTTCTTTTGGTAACTCAGACATTCTGCTTTACACTCTGAGCACGTTTACATACAAGGAGGCGTTTATCTCCACAGCATCAGTCACCATGAAGATCTAGCAGGTTAATAGAGAGCCACCTTCATGACACTAAAAAACTCTGACTTTAGGCTTAGCATACCTTGCTAACCCACTAATATCACTTTGTGGCACAATCCTCAGGTCAGATACAGTTCAGAATGAGGTGACAAAAACCATAGGTGTATGTGATGCTTTTCTGCTTTCCACAGCTGAATATCCACGTGGGTAACATCTCTCTGGTGGACCAGTTTGAGTGGGACATGTCAGAGAGAGAGAACTCTCCAGAGTCATTTGCACTGAAGCTGTGCTCTGAGCTGGGACTGGGTGGAGAGTTTGTCACCACTATTGCCTACAGCATTCGAGGTCAGCTCAGCTGGCACCAGAGGACCTACGCCTTCAGGTAACTCACCCACTTTCTAGGACAGTCCTGTTAAAATTATTGGGTTCAGCAGTCTTGCATGCAGAGGGAAGGTTACCCTGGCACATCCATTGTAAACATGCCAACTAGCCACATAACAACAAACTTCCTCCAGAATCACAGACTCCATCATTAATTGACTTTTAAGGACCCTACTTCATCTTTTTGGAGTATACTGCAGTCTCATCCTCAGATTTCTGTTTTTCTGCTTTTTTACATGCCAGCAGTACATTGTCCTCTGTGGTGGACTGATTTACTAATACCATGCTTGTAATTTGTTTAGTGAGAACCCACTCCCCACAGTAGAGATTGCCATTCGCAACACAGGCGATGCAGACCAGTGGTGCCCCCTGCTGGAGACTCTCACAGATGCTGAAATGGAGAAGAAGATCCGAGACCAAGACAGGAACACGAGGTGAGACAGTCGGATACAGTCAGATGGTTGAATACATTAAATAAATGTACTGTTTATCTATTCCACTGAAGCTACTATTGCTACCTGACTTTTGTCAGACTGACAATTGTAAGATCTGTGGTTAAAAAGACATCAAAGAATAAAATGTAGCTACCAGCTAAAGTCATCCCTGAAAACATTAAAGTAAAAGTATGTAATTTTGATAGATAAAACATAGTTGCTGGTGCAGCAGAACAGTTGCTACGTATTTTTGTATTTGCTGCTAAATTGGGCTATAGTATATATAGAGGTTAGTGACGGGCGGTGGGCGAATATTTGAATATTAAAATTGCTATCCGGATACCACCACATCAAACAAATATTCAGGTCCAGCCCTATAATCAACTAATCATTTCAGCTCTAGAGTATTTTTTGGTTCATGGATGCTCAAAAAATAATCACACTGTTCTGTGTATTGGAGGTCCAACAACGCGTTTTTGTCTAGACTCTCTTTGAGGGTTGATTTGTCTGTGTTGATATGTCTGTTTTTCCATCTAAAGACTCAGAATGTTAACTCAGGACTAAAAAAAAAATCAGAGTTTCACTTAAGAAGCTTTCTGCCACAAACTCCTACAGTTTTTGCAGAATTCTCAAAGTAACGTGAATAAACTCTGTTTTTACAGGCGTATGAGACGACTGGCCAACACCGCCCCTTCCTGGTAGAAAGAAACAGGGAGCTGCATCAAGCGATGTGTCCTCTGGAGACTCTTGTTACTCTGAAGCGATCAAGTAAATACACACAGAGTTACACACACACACGGGTCATCCTTAAAGCATCAACGAAACATCTGGACAAGCATGAACACAGACATGTGGTCAGTCTCCATGGACACCTCATTGACTGAACACACATCCAGACATTCCTCTGCACACACAGTCTGCCGTTACCATGTTTCACTCTCATTAGCTAATCAGTCATGGCAGCAGCTCACATCTATCTAACCAGTGTTTAATACTAAAGGAGATTCGTCTGATGTCTGTTACACACACCTCACCATGCAACATTCACTGTACACTTGCCAGGTCAAAACACTTGCCATTGAGTTTAATGTATCTGTATGGATGGTGAAATGGCACCCTGAGTCTGTGACCTCACACTGATCGGGGCAGCATTTGTGTAAGACTACCAGGGCAGTTCTGACAACTACAAGTTTAACATGTGCAGGTTACTAACAGATCTGTCATTTTCTCTGTCAGTTATCATCTGCACAGCAGCTGAAAGGCAGAAGTATCAGGTTTATTAAGGTCCTGTCCTAACCAGCATCTAGTATTGTGCTGCACAGCAGAGCAATTTAAATAGTCGAAGAAGGCAAGCACAGATGCAGCTAACATTAATGATGGCTCTGTTACAGTACTCACAGATGGAAAGCACTCAAAGTAATATTAACAACAGCTGTGCTTTTCTGGTGCCTGCTGGTACAAATACATCACAGTATTTCTGTTCCCCGTGATCAGCAGGAGGGTTCACTGATCCTGGATGTCCTGTAGAAGTGAAAGCATTAGTCAATCAATCCATTTGCCAATCAACTGAAGTATGATTAATTATTTAGAAAATTGATTCATTGTTTCAGTCATTTTCTAAACAAAAACACTAAAGAAATGTCAATCTTTTCATTTTTAAAGATTCTAATATGAGAGGAACTGCTGTTCTTTTTTCCATATATAATTCTAAACAGATTCACTTTGGATTTTGGACTTTTACTGCTGAGATAAAACAAGATATTTGAAGATATAACCATGATACAGAGTTCCAAAAGGGACACTCTGCCTATTTCAGACCTTCCTGTGATGTTGGACCCACTTATAGTGTGGTCAGAACAAGCAGAGATCTGGTTCTTAATAGAACTGACAGGATCCAGGAGCTTGATAGTCAGTATGAATAAGATTGGCATTTTGTAATCCTCTGTACCAGAAATAATAAACTAAATTAATTTTGTGAACGTTGTGTATCGAGTACAACAGATGCAGCTGCCACAGATCACAGACAGCAACAGTAGCATTTCAGGATGTGAACACTGCGGTGACGTGCTGTTTACATAAAGTAGCAACTCAAAACTCTCACCGTGAACGCTAGACAAATCTGGATATCTGTGTCTGAGCTGCTTACATCTGTTTGGCGTGTTTCTTACTTTCGCTAAAAATGCTAAGAACGGGCAAACTTATTACTGCAGCTGCACCACCGCCATTCCACATGTTTTTATTGTCCATTATCTCTAGTACCTTCTGAATCCATTGTACCTTCACTACCCACGGTGCTACAGAAAACAAGGACCATCACGTTTTAAGAAATTTGGTATTGGCTTGGTACTAAAGTGCTGGTTCTTATGACGTAATCAATACATAATTGTAGTCATTTTGCAGCTCGGCCTCCCTCTATGGATAAGCGGAAGTGCGTATGAACATAAAGAAACATTAAAGAAAGAAAACTTCCCTTCATGACCATAATACCATGATCTTTTTGGGAGTTCCAGACCATGGGATTAGGTTGAAATGAGCATCAATTCACTACTTTGCGATTTTAAAGCATTAAAGAATTCAAACAGGACTTCAATATCAAGACGTTGTCAATAAGCAACCCCCCAGGACTGAGCATTATGCCTGCATGTGTGGGTGTTGGACAGTAGGAGGACCAGGGGAGCCAACAAAAATAAAGGATGGTCTGATCAAAATAGTCTGCAAAGAAAAAGTTTAAAAAACTTCAAAAATGCAGTACCAACATCCAAACCCTACATGTAGATGCTTTAATAAATGTTGGTAATTGGCAGCTTCTCTGTGCTGTGGTTAATATTAGTGGGACGTCCTGGTCATAACACAGTTATCCAGACCAGGTTTACTCACGTTGCCTGCAGCTCAGATCTGTTAAGTGTTTGCAGCCAATTGGGGCCGAGCTGCTTTGGTTTTAGCATGTGTGTTCTGGTCTTTATTACTGATTCTGGTCAGCTGTGTGCACCTGTGTCCATCTGCATGCCGAAACATAGTTAACTCATACTGTACATTGTGCATGAGGGACGGACTGTTCCCACTGTTACTTCTGTTTGCACTGTGCCTCACATTTTATCGGTGTCAGCACACTGCGGCTTCTGTTTTTGGCTAGTAGAGGGGGGAGACCAAGCTGACAAGAACCAATGGTGTCTTTTAATGTGATGATTTTCAACTTGAACATACTTTAAAGAATGATGTTAATGTATGTACTGTTGCTTCTCATTCTCTTCTTTTGTAAAATTGCTTTACCTTTTTAGTGGACTTGTTTTTTATATGAAAAGTAACAATAAAGACAACTTGTTGTAAAAGGTTCTGTTTTGTCAACCTGTTTGATTTTAATTCACATATTCTGTTCATTTCTCTTAACCATGAGATAACTGAGATAAGTGTGTCTGCCAGGTCAGTAAAAAATGATGACGAAGGAAACACAAATGACTAATTGAGTGAGTTTCATATGGTTACTTTTACAGAATGTAAAATAAACGGGCATTTTATCCATAGAAACATACACTTGGTCCACTTCTAAGCAAATACTTCTTGTTTTTTAAGTTATTTTTTTGGCCTTTGTGCAATAGTGCAATGAGAGAGAGACAGAAAAGTGGGGAGAAGACATGTGGGAAAGGGCCATGAGCAGGATTCAAACTCATGACCTCCACATCGGGACTGTAGCCCTGTACATGGGACACCAGCTCAACCAGGTGAGCTACAGCAGCACCCTCTCTAAGCAAATACTTTTTAGCAAAAAAAAAAAATGTAAATTTTGATTTTGGCATCTAGAACGAAGCTGCTTCGAGAGGCTACAGAAGTCCAAAAGGTTTTGCAGAGATGACATTTGTAGATGGAACCATAAATGCCTGTGGATATGCCAAAATTACTGGCAGACAAGAAGACTCCTAGTCTGTAGAAGCTCAGAAGAAGAGGAATATTCCAGCATAACGATCCAAAATACAATCTCAAAATTGCGTAAGAGCTTTTAAAAACAAAGAAAGTAATAACTATGACCTCACTTGGATCTAGAAGAATTTAAAGGAAAGAAAGAGTAACAGAACACACCTCCCCCAGCAAAGATCAGAAAAAACATAGTCTGTTCAGGATGGCAGCATCTCTTTAGTAATATGTACAACACTGGTATCCTTCGTGCTGTGGAGGATTGAATCTGTCATCAAAAATGAGGTGGACATCTGAATTAGTGAAAAACACATTTAAGTGACTTTGCACAGGAGTGCACACACTTCTGTTGTGTCCTGTGTAAAGGCTGTACTAACATTTACCCCGTGTGTCCAATACATCCACCCATCCATCCACTGCTTAACCCCCAGTAGGGTCATGGGGGGGCTGGAGTCTATCTCAGCTGACTCAGGGTGAAGGCCGGGGATGCCTGGACAGGTAACCAGTCTGTCACAGGGCTACACAGAGAGACAACCAAGCACACTCACATTCACACCTATGGACGATTTAGAATCACCAGTTAACCTCAACATGTTTTTGGACTGTTGGTGAGTTGTTTATTGAGAAGGGATGATGTGAAGGTGATGAAGAAATTCTCAGCTGATAGTATCTTGTTGATTTATTAAAGTTTTTTGGAACAAATACAATATCTCAGATGCCTGGGAGGATTCAAAGCCAAAAAGAATCACCCTCCAGACCAACCTTAACCACTGGCTTATATAGGGGAGTTTTTTTACGTAAAACTAGCACATGGTTCATACCATAAGGGGAGTCCCATTCTCTAGACAGTGTGGTGACTCTCCTTCAGCAACCTTTGACCTGGTCGCTCCAATCTTAAATCTTCAAGACCCATGATTTCAAACCCAGGTGCAACCTTTGACCTGGGGACCCTTTCAAAACCCATGATGTAGAATATCAGATACCACAGGAGGAAGCTGGAGAACGTGGAGAGAACCCAGGCTGCACAGGGAGAACATAGGGATTCCCAGGGAACCAGGGATCCTCCAGCTGCGAGGCCACAGAGCTGACGACTGAGCTCTGGAATCCAATACATTTTAATACAATTTCCAACATTATCTCAGCATATCTCAAACGATAGGTGGCGCCAATGTGTCGCGCAATTCCCGTGCTTTAGCGAATGCCTTATTCTACAGTCTAATATTTTTATTCTTTACCTTCTTTACCTTGATTTCGTATTCGCATATGTAAACTAAATTTTATTTTTTTTTTTTAATCCATGGCATTTACGGATTATTCCCTGAAGGCGGGTCACATGTCTCCAGGTTGCCACGTCCATCTTTATACAGTCTATGGTCTCCAGGCAGTGCTGAACCTTTGACGGGGTTACGCTGGAATCTCGCGTTACACAGCGAGACTTCAGCCCGCCGGTCTCTCGGAGTCACACATCTTTATGTTGATAGTAGACGGCAACTGAACGACACGAAAACATCAGAAAAACATCGTGTTCCCGGTAGAACAAGAGCGTTGTGTTTTTTCGTGGTCTACAGTACACGAGCTCCGTGTGAGCTCCACGGGAAGCTTTTCATCAGGACCGGACACTGAGCGCTCAAAGAGCCGGCCAGCCGAGCTCACCGAGACCGGTGGAACTGCCGGACGTTTGGCTGCTCCGGAGGACTCCGCCGGTGTTTTGGGGGGACAGAGTTGGTTCTGGAAGACAACCGACCGCGGGGTGCTTTTGCTTTCGAGCCGGCTGCCATGGAGGGACGGTGACGTTGAGGGGAGCGGCTCACCGGGCTCGTCTAGCGGCTCCACTGTCGGGCAGCACCGGCTCGGAGCAGACAGAGGGCCCCACACACATGATGCACCAGCACGGCTCTTTAATGCCCCCTTTGCTCGGTGATGTGATCTGTAAGTGCCGCTCAGCAGAGAGCCATCCAGGGGTCGACCCAGGCGGCGGCGGAGGTGGCCACGCCGAGGACTCTTCCTCAGTTCCAGGAGCGGTCCGCCGACAGCCGGCACATCCATGTGACATATGCGGAGGGACGGAGCAGGAGCACCGGCTGAAGGTGCTGTTCCAGGTCCTGGATGTAAACGGGGATGGAGGCATCTGTATCAACGACCTGACGATCGGGCTGAAGAAATTAGGAGTGCATCGCACTGAACATGAGCTCATGGTAAGAGGACACATCTCTGCTTTTCGTGTGAGGGAATGCTTCTGTTTCAGTTCCTGTCCTGCTCCATGTACAGGTGAACTGTACCTGGTCTAAGAGCAGTCCGACGATCCAAGCAAACATTCTCACTGAGGGTTTGGGATTGTCTTTCCTTCATCAGGGCTCAGTGGGAGCAAGATGGATTGTCTTTTTTCTCCAGTGGCTTTATTCAGAGTTCCACATGTTATAACAATAATATTAATAATAATACATTTTATTTGTATAGCACTTTTCAAAAATACTCAAAGTCCCTCTACAGGGCACAAGATAAAAACAGAAACAAACAAGTTGAATACAAATTTTAGATTTTACAGATAAACTCCTTCTGACAAATGTTACTTCGGACTCAATACTAATAACCAACAAACAAAACATGAACAACAACACATGCAGCTGACCATGTCCTCTTCTGATAGATCCATTTCTATAAAACTCTATAAAATCCTCCTGTCTATGTTTGAAAACATCTTGTTCCTGTTCTCCTTCTCAGAAACACAAGGGCTGAAAGAATTGGGGGGAAATCTCTAATTGCACTGTATCCAGCAGCTATTTAAAGTCTAGTTTCAGTTCAGTGTTCACTGTGTATCAGGTTGAAAACATGTGATGGGACATGAGGTCCAGGGTGACTATCAGAGGAAGATATATTATTTAAACTATTGGTACCACAGTTTAAACCCGCGGTCAGATGTGCTACATAGTTTGTATCCTAAATTGCAGCCTTTGCAATTTCCTCCTTACATCAGTTACTTTTAATTTTTAAATCGATTAATTGTTCACTCCGAGGACAAATGTGATGTTTTTTTTCCCACTACTTTTTTTTTTGCATTTAGCTGACAGAGGTTCATCAAGCCTTCTTCATTTTTACATTAAGTTTAGTTCAGTGAAATGTTTCTGAAATGAATTATCTACCCAGAATGTTTACATTTTTCTGCACTCCCAGATACAATGGATCATTCATTTTATTTCATTACACATGGCATTAGGATCTGAAATCTATTTTGTTTCACTAGCGTGTTTATGTTGGAACGGCTGTACAATATTGGAAATATCTGACATTGAGATATTTCGTTTTTCTGCAATATAAATATATGTACAGTTGAAACCAGACGTTTACATACACTGTCTAAACAGACATAAAACCTTCTTTTTGTCACTGTCTGACATTAAATCAGACTAAACTTTTCCTGTTTTAGGTCAGTTAGGATTACCAGAATTATTTCTATGTGCTAAACACCAGAATAATGAGAGAGAGAATTTTTTATTACTTTCTTCAAAGTTCAAAGTTTTCATACACTAAGATTACTATGCCTTTGAATGATTTAGGAAAGCCCAGATAATGATGTTATGGCTTTGGAAGCTTTTGATTGGTTAATTGACAACCATCCATTATCTATACACCACTTAATCCTCACTAGGGTCGCAGGGGGCTGGAGTCTATCCCATCTGACTCAGGGTGACGGCAGGGGACACCCTGGACAGGTCACCAGTCTATCACAGGGCTACACTTAGAGACAGACACCAAGCACACTCACATTCACACCTACGGACAATTTAGAATCACCAATTAACCTCAACATGTTTGTGGACTGTGGGAGGAAGCTGGAGAACCTGGAGAGAATCCACGCTGCACGGGGAGAACATGTAAACTCCATGCAGAAAGATCCTGGGTGTCCTAACCGGGATGCAAACCGGGGATCTTCTAGCTGTGAGGCCACAGTGCTAACCACTGACCACCGTGCATAATGCCTCATAATGTCAGCGAAAAATGTATCTAACTGAACAAGTAAAAATTTCAACCGTGTTTTGCCTGGTTTTATGTAAAGATGGCGATGTCTTTATGGCAGCCAGCATTTTTGAAGTCACAGCCTGTAGGCCTCTGTTTTGTGTGATATTGAAAGAAATGAAACGATTTCAATACCTAAAAGACAAGCCGACTAGTGGTGTTGTATAAATGCCTCCTTATTAGCTATGGAAATTTAAATATGTTTAGTTGTAGATACTTTTCAGAAATAGCATCTAAAGAAATTCTTCCATGACTTCATTTGAATGTCTGGATTAGAAGCAGATCAAGATGATGGAAATCTCTGTTTCTCTAGAAATTTTGCTCTCTGTTTGTTGAGGACAGTCACTTAATATTGAATAGTGATACCCTTCACATGAGATGAAGTTACAGGATTTACCCTCAGCAACTGACTGAGAATGAGATTTCAGTGTAGCTCAAAATATCTTCCTCTGTCATTTGACAGTTTGAGCTTTCCTTTAATCACACTTCACAATCAGTGTTTAGTATTCTGCACAGTTCATTGTGATAAATATATGCACAAGGCACACTTGGCCAAATAGTTCCACTGCAGTTCCTGTAACGATTGCCTTCAGTCGGCTTAACAGGACAAAGCCTGAAGCGTTCAGTTACTGTTTAACTACATAATGTCAGGGGTGATGTGCAAGATGCCAGTCTCTATGTTGCTGCCAGACGTATCAGTATCTCAAAAGAAATAAAGTTACTTATCAAGTATTACACTCATTGTGTTTAGATTAACCAGGCATCAGTCGGGTGGAGCGGGTTTGCTTGCTGCCATGCTTCCCCGGGCTATTTGATGAACAGAATTTAAGTTAGTTGCACCTGATGGTCGAGTATCAAATTCAGTGTTCAGTTGAACTGCATTCCGGTCACTTTTATGTAAAAGTTGCTTACGGTACTAAGGTACTTATTATTTCACTGTCACACCTTGTAGCATATCAATGCCACTTTCAACATGGCACAACCCTAAACTGCATGTAGTCACATTAACAGATGAGTCATTATGTGTCAGCTCAGCGAGTTTAGGGAAGGTCAGTAGCTTGACCACCTCAGAATCTCTTGAAACTTCGTAGGAATGACATTTGGCATCTGAAACTGACATCTGCCTTTTTTTTTTAGCTGAAAAACCAACAGTTTCATAATTCTTCACCCAATGGAAATTTTCAAGAAATCATTTGCAAGTGGGAAATTGAACAAGACACCACGTTCAGATGTCCATATCTCTTGAAGATGTTTTGAAGTCTCTGGTCAAATGTTTTTAGTGAGTCATCTTGTTCATACTCCAACAATCAGTATGTAGGGTCAGCAGCAGAATGATTCTAGCATGAAGACATTATGGAAGGATAATGAAACTTGTCACATCAGTAGATGATACTTCCATCTCTTACTTTCCTAAACTTCATCAGCCTACCCATGATTCAAGACGTCCATCTGGCTGTTTGGAAATTAATCACTTTTTTACCTGTGTCAACTTTGATTGGCCATAACTCCCATTTCTACTAACATATGGAAGCTTTCTAAGCATCAGTGATGTCATTTAGATATTATTTCCGTCATAAAATTTGTCAAATAGTTCCTGTGTATCAGAGATATATTTTTCGTAATTTTTGGAAAATCCACTTTATTTGCGATTTTTGAACAAATCCTGAATTTGATGTAATTGCCAGTATTTGCTGCGCTCTCTCCATTCACCAGAAACTTCAGAACATCTCCAGAAAATGTGAAGACCCCAGGACGTATACGTCAAGAGATATGGATGTCTAAAAAGTGGCATCTCGTTCAATTTCCAACTCGCAAGAGATTTATCAAGAATTTCCATTGGGTGAAAAACTCGCGTTTCGTATGCCTTGTCTGAAAAGGAATTTACTTACGTACACCACCATGTATCAGATCTGCATAATGCCTGCTCAAGTGATAGTCTGACAGGTCTTCAAACAAAGAATGAGCAGCCACCACACAGTTTGTATTTTTCTTGGTGGAGCCATTTCTGCAAACAATAATTCTGAAAGGTCTGAGCCATAAGCAAAGCAAATGTTCTCTGCAGCTGCAAGAGTGAACACAAGATTTTTCATGTACTCCCAGCAGCTGATGAACAGTACACCCAGCGGAATACTTTTATTTTTGATGGCAATATCCCCACAAGAATAGGAAATTCCTTTGTGTCCAAGTATTGCGTGGCTAATGTGGCTAACGGTATTAGTTTTAGTTGTGTGCCTACAGGTTAGGACTGGGTGGGTTACTGTGTTTTCATGTTGCCTTTTGTGCCTCGGTGCAACCTAAACTCAGCTGGCGTTTTAGTTAGTATACCCAGATGGTACTTGTGAAAAATAAATGTTCAGGAAGCAATTCCTAAAATGGTTACACGACAGCAGTATTCAGTGTTCGTAACTTTCACCTTACTACGTGAAGTGCTATGAGATGACATATGTTGTAAATTGGCACAATATAAATAGAACTGAATTGGATTACATTTAGTTCTGTTTGAATAGGTATTTGTGAAGTGTAGCAGGCTTGGAGCAGAGAGTCACAGACAAACACGTTGTTGGTTTTCATGGGGTGCATCCATAATGTTACACATATTATATAATGCCAGCTTTATCCTTCAACAAGTACAAATGTTTGTTACTCAAGTATGAAAATCTCTCATGCTGTTTTAAAGAGACATTCTGTCAATAATCAGTTAGTCCAGCTCTAATTTCTGTCATCAAGCAGCGCAGCATTAAGTAACAGTGAGTCAGGGCTGTGGAAAGCAGCAGGAAGCCACCAGGATTTTTTGAAGAGATGGAGCTTCTTTGCTGCGTCACACTGTAGTTTTCCTAGCAGGAGCAACCCAGTATGTGTTGAGAATAAAAATGCAACTGAGCTCAGCCGTTGGGTCACTGGATTGCCTGCTGGACAATGACAGCGTGCTTGGAGTGACTCAGAACGAGTGCAGAAGGATAGCGGGGGAGGGACGAGGTAGGCAACACTCAGCAGATTTTCTGCTGTGAGGAAGGTGTGACTGAGGGGAAACCCTGCACTTTACCCAGCCCCCTCCTCCTACTCTGAAGGCATCAGCTAATTTCCATGCAGCTATCTTGTCCTCCATTGGCTGGGGGGATGGTTTTATGGCTGCGCAGTCAGGCCTGCCAGTATGGACTGCAGGGATTGGTCGGGCTGGGCTGCAGTGAGGATGCAGGTTTCTGGAGGCTCTCTTTGCTGTGTGTCTCTGGATGCTGATACTGAAGCCGGCAAAGTGGCAGATCCTGTTTGCTGCTGATGCCATTGTTTCCTCAGACTAAACATGAAGTATTTCCAATGTGAAATTCTTCATTTGATAAACGGAAAAGTAATCGCACTTCAGAGGCTGTACGGCACATTTGGCACCTTTGGTTTTATCCTGCTGCAATAGATGCCCGTGGATCTGCACCTGGACGTCTGTCAGCGCTGTGAGAAAAGTGAGAAAAAGACATAGCAAGAAGCTGAATCACAGAGACACTGAGCCGAAGCAGTGGCGTCAAGTCCTCTCTGCAGTCCCACGTTGTCTTCAGCGGACCTTCCCAATCTTCTTCTGCTAGTTTGACTTTTTTCCTTTCAGCAAGAGTGGCGCAGTTAAGCGTTGCTGTTGTGTTTGAGCAGAGGGCAGTAACCCAGACACAGTGAGAGCCAGTTTGACGATGCTGCAGGACATGCTGAGTTTCCTATGCCAGAGACTTTTTGGCAGGACACAGTGTAAGCCTGCTGAAACTCAGCTGCCTGGGGAGAAACAGACCGGTGCTACTGGAGACCAAGCTGTTCTCAATGGAAAGACTGTACACTCCTCTGACAATACAGAAGTCAGCAGGAGTGATGCTACTCCAAAGAAGACCACAGTATTAATTATGGTAGCACCACCTACAGATCCTCAACAGGTAGGATGAAGCAGGTAGAGAAAGACCTGTGGGGACAATAGATGGCCAGATGTAGGCCTGCTCTCAGCTGCACCTGACAAGATAATTACTAATCAACTTTCTAATAAGTCAGGTGCATGTCTAATATGTTTAATCAGCAGGTGGTCAAACCTGAAGGAGTTTCTTAAGGCTCTGAACATCTTTGTGAGGTCTTTGCTCCAGAAATGAATCTCAATCAAACAAACAGCCAAATATTATAGCTGTCAGTCTGGAAAAAGACTAAATGATTGTGATGCTTGAGGAGTCCAACAGGACAGAGTTTGTGTGTGTGTGTGTGTGTGTGTGGCTGATAGACAACACTAATGTGAGTTTTACATGCTAAAATATTTCATGTTTCATTGATAGAAGAGAAAAGGCTTCAACAAAGGAAAACTTTCCCAGCAGAATGAGTGTCCAAGTCTTTCTGGTCCTCCAAGTCCTTTTCTCAAAAACTGATGGTTTGCTATAAATGATTTAGGTTTAGACATTCATGTTCCTGACAGGATCAACAATTATACTGTTGATGATCATCTGCCTTAGTGCTCAGTGTTGGTTGAATGAACTTCATGCTCTTTTCCTAAACACACTGCGGCTCCTCATTCAAATATTTCCACTTGGCAGCTGTTGCTGTCGGTGCAACCACACTGATGTTTTGGCAACTGCGCAGCTCCGCTGGAGCTGCTGGAGATGATGTGTTTTGCTTGAAGGATCCCCTTTCCCTTGATCAAAAGAGAGACGTGCGCTGCTCTGTCAACTTTTGTTTATTCTGTTCACCTTACATGCTCTGCTGATCTTTACTTCTTTACTTGAGGCCTGGGTGATAAAAACGAGCCATATGTACCAGCAACTGACACATCATTGATTGCAATAAGAAAACTGTTCAAAGTTTGACTTAAATGCATTACATGCAAATCGGCCTGGAAACCCATAATGAACAGAACAAGTTCTGTTGCATGACAAACCCCAGTGGCTTTGATAAATCTACCTAGAAATAGTGAATGTGTGTGTTTCTATCTTATTTTTATTTTTATTAGATTATTTTTTCTGGGCTTTTTTCCCTTTATTGAACAGGACAGTGAAGAGAGACAAGGAAACGTGGGGAGTAGAGTTGGGGGAGGACATGCAACAAATGAGCCGCTGGCTGGACTGGAACCACGGCCGCTGTGTCGCGAACTATAGCCCTGGACACGGGTCGCTGTCTGTTGAGCTACTGGGGCGCTCCAATGTTTCTATCTTAGTTTAGTTTTTGCACTTGAGTTAAGGCACTTCTGTCATGAAACAAAGTAATTTGTCAAGATGGCTCTCCACTTGAAGGTGAAGCAACAAGTCTTCTGTGTCAAGGAGACATCCCCAGTGTTGACTGTCTGGTCTTTGGCCAAATGAGGCTCATGTCAGAGACTGATGGAGTTGAATGTTAACCCAGTGTGCTGATGTTCTGGCACCATTATAGAGAGTTAACCATTAATCATAATCTCGCTTATGAGGGAAAATCAAGAAATCAGTGTGCATGTGGTAGAAGTGGCAATGTGGCTCCATGATTTGTAGGCACTGATCAGGCAGGCAGCTTTGGTCCAAACACAGCAGGGCACTTTGCATCTACTTGAATACATGAGTGAGACTGGCTTATTGAGTTACTAATTTCACCTCTTAGCTTGTATGTTTCTGAGAAAAGGTATTCACCGTAGTTCTGCTTTCCAACAGAGGCAGCAGCTTGGTGTGTGTCTGTCACTGGTTCCTCAGTGTTAATATTCAGTGTATCCTGTGGCCACTCATTACCGGTGCAGTGTACGAGTGCTCCATCCTGTGTTCATTGCTGTTCACTGCATTGAGCTAGTGTCTCCGATAAAGTAAAACTGTATCTTCAACTGTAACAATGAAAACTGAATGTGTGGTTTTAAAAACTGTCACTATTTTTATTTTACAAGAATACAGTAAATGGTCCGAGTGGCTGAGCAGGGAGGTCAGTGGTTCAATGTCATGTATGTGTTTAACAACTGAAAACCCACAGATACTGTTTCATTTACTGTGGTTTATAGAGGAAAGTATTCAATCCTCACATTACAGGAACCAGTGGATGTTCCTCACTTTTGTTACATCATTTTTTTATTATAAAAATAGTTTAGATTTGATTAGTTTTCAGTCTAAGTACTAATAGAATTGTTTCAATGTGCCTACACAGGGCTTCAGACTGCGACCAAAACGGTCCTGTTTTGTGAGAATGCGAGTTTAAATTTCATATGGTGGCATTGTGAGAGTGAATAATGATCATCAGGCTGATCTGGTTCCTTCCGTCAGCACAGGTAGCTGCTGCACAAGATGTTGTTGTTGGAAATATGTCTTCCACATTGACTCAGTCCCTCTCTGTCTGACGGGTAACAAAAACAAGTGAGAGGAGGAGAGGGAGAGGTCCGACACACCTGATGATAAAAGTGTTCAGGTGCAGGCAGACAGATCTGGAGTCAGTTAGGAAGACAAAGTATCCCCACATTCAATCTTGAAGGTTCCAATTTTAACAGTGATCACAGTTTTGACTCTATAAACATGATCGCCAGTGATATGCACATTTAAAATGCGCTCAGCTCGTAGAAAAGTCCGTTCATTTAAAAAAACTCTGCTCATAGAAAACTTTTCAACATGGGCAAACTTGTGTAGGAAGCGCTTTCCACTGTTTTTCAACAAATGTTTGGTCGCTCACCTGTCAGAGGAGCTGCACTGCAGCTGCCTGGTAGCATCTATCAGAGCAGCATGTGAGGCGTTTAGGGAACATCGGTAAAATGTAGCGCACATGTTCAGCAACTGTTTAGCCTGTGCCCAGTTAATGAGTGATATCAGAAAAGGACTGATGACAAAATAAATATATTTTCAGGATAAAACATTTTACAAATATCAACTCCTGCATCACTGAAAATCATTGCAACTTAACTAAGTTATGCCAAAACAATTATTTATCAGCTGCCTGGTGCATTAATAGTTGTGGCAATGCTGATCCAAAATAATAGGGTGGGGTGACCAAATCATTAGCTGGTGCAACTAACCAGGACAGTTGGTAGCACTGGAAAAGTAAGTCTGGAGCCTTTGACGGTATTACCGTATGCACGATACAGTATATAACTGACAGGGTCCACTCTGCAGCATTGACCATGTCTAGGACACAAGCACTATTTTAGTTTTTTTATTGCAAATGTTTTACTTTATGCTTGTGCTCCTGCTAACAGAGAAGATGGTTCAGCAAAGTAATGCTCAGATGCATTCTGTTGATTTGTTCTTCGTCCAGCACACTCCCTGAGGGATGGAACAGCCTGTGTGTGCATAGTCACACAGCTAACACTGTTTCCTTATAGAAGTCATTCCAGTTGGTCAGGCAGGTTTTAGGAGCAGAAAGTGCCCTGGATTGTCTTAGATGACTAATAACCTGAGATATGTGGCTGAGTCAACATTGCACAGATGGTGAAGGTGATAGAAGCTCCGCACTCTGGCCCCTGCTGCTGTTTGTCACATCACTCTATCCACAAAGCAGCATTGCTGTATTTATGCAGAATTAGTTCAAGTTAGTATCCTTTACAGACGATGCTTTCTGTTCAGCTAATGTACCATGCTTACTGAAACTAATTGACATTGCTTAAATACAAAAATGATCCACCAGCTTTATGAGTGTCTTCCTTGTGTGTTTTTATTTCAGTGGACACAGGTCTGTCAAAAGTATGTCCTGTCTTTTCTTGGCTTACAGAAAATAGTGAAAGCAGGGGACAAAGACCTGGACGGACAGTTGGACTTTGAGGAGTTTGTTCATTACCTAAGAGACCACGAGAAAAAACTGCGGCTGGTCTTCAAGAGCCTGGACAAGAAGAATGACGGTAAGAATCTTTTTACCACTTCGGTTGCAGGTCTGCTGGTGGGATTGACAACAGATGAAATGAAATGAATGAAAAATACTTTATTTATCCCAGAAGGGAAATTCAATTTCAAGATTGTGGACCAACATTACGAAATAAAGGGATAAAGAAGCACTTCAGTAAGTGCACTTCCATACTTAAATGGATTTAGACCTTTGAGTTCGTCCACTCCACAGAGTTGTCAGGAAAAGGTTTCTCAGTTAAAAAAGATAAATAATTCTGTCCCATGAGCACAGAGGGAAAAGTGCATATAAGCCAATCGGTGCCATGGCATGGACTTGCACAGTTGTGAAGTGTTGCCATGCTGTGCCCTGCAACCAAGGAGGAGTGATAACAGAGGGATGGTATGACTTCCTTGATTAATAAATTCATTCTCGGACACCATGGTTTGTATTTCCCTCGCTGCACTCCACTCTTACAACCCTGGCATTGCTACACATCAGGCTTGGTTTAAAGTGATGGTAGATTCTGGTGGATACTTTGGTCTGTGGTTATTCGTTAGGGAAAATTAAAGCTTCCAGCATTAATCATTTACAATGAAGACAATGTCAGACTGAAGATGGAGAGTGCAACCAGTTGACAATTGTGTGTGACATCAGGCAACATTCATATAGTTTTGGAATTGAGAGCATGTTTTCAGTTTGTAATAAGATTTTTTCAGACTTGACAAATTCCTTCAGAGACGCACAAGACATGATACAATTCTGATTTGTAAGCTGACCTGTATGTGTAAAATCTGTGAAATAAACTTATGTTGTTGTTCTTTTTGATAAATAACCAAAAGATTCTTGTGGTGCAGGCCGAATCGACTCACAAGAAATCATGCAGTCTCTGTGTGACCTGGGAGTGAACATCTCTGAGGAACAGGCCAAGAAGATTCTCAGAAGGTGAGATTAATGCTCTGATCTATGGTCCACTTAATGGATTGTAAGTTGCTGCTTGTGGGTGTGAGAAAGATTAAAACAAAAACCCATGCAAACTACAGGAAACAGTGAAGTGACAGTTGGACCACTGTTTGTTATATATGGTGATGAAGTTAACAGTTAAAACCTTGTCAGACATGCACCTTTTAATGTAATAATGTGGGCAATATGTGGGTCTCATGTCTGGATAAGCAGCTCAACTACCAATACATCATCAGACCAGCAGCTTCCCTCAAATTTTCAATTTCCATCCATGCTGACTGCATGAATTCAGAAACAAATAAACAGAAAGTGCTTTGAATAACACAGGTGAGCAGCTGTGAGTCCCTTACCCTAATGCCTTCTCATTCTATACTTGCACCTTGTTGGACGTCATAAAATCTAGCAGGGCACTAACTGTAGTTGTAGATTGACTGTGAAGTGAGGTGAGTGTTTCTTCATCACTGGTGCTGTGATTGACAAAGCAGAGAGCACTGCTTTTCCTTCATGCCATTTTTTATAGCTCTGTGTAGTCCTTCAGCACAATCACTGCTCCCTCTCACACACCAAAGGCCTGTACTATGAAGCTAGTTCAACACACCCAGGATATCTTTTCGTTATCTGGCTGCAGTAAATATAACAACTGCAGTCAGGCTAGGGGTCACCAAAAGTTGGTTTCAAATTTCTTGCTGTCAGAATGAAAGGAAAAAAAATAGCAAGCAAGGAAAAGTGGAGACCAGTCCACTAAAAGTCTCCATCTCTCATATCTACTGTATGCTCATCAGGGAAACAAAGAGGTTTAATTGGAGCTCTTTGTTTCCCAGGATCTTCTATAAATGGCAATGCCATTTTCCTAGATGGTCGGTCTAGCACCTAGGTGCTGTTATACACAATGATCTGTTACCTTAAATTTAACCTGCTCCAGGGCAGCATAGGTGTGCAGAGTAAGTTACTGGGATGATGTATCCCAGTAGAAAGTGAACCACCATTGTAGCCCTGAAAACCCAGAGTTTCTACAAGGCTCTGACAGCCCAACAGTCACACTGGACCAGCATTTGGTACAAAGCGGTTGAGATTACTGGATTCACAGTCAGATCACCCAAACTGAGACTGATGGAGCCCCAGTCGCACTGCTGCCCTCCTTTTTGTACATAGGTCATATTTAGACTAGACTCATTTTGTAAAGATTACAGCTCGCCATGTTGTTGCTCCACAAAACTGTAGTGCAGTGATTCAACGGACTGGTTCAAATCATCAACTTTCGGGTGACGGCCAAATTCTCTGTAACATTGGAATGTCTTTTAGTAATAGACCAATCAATCAGTTGGCCATTAAATGTCATTTTGAAATAACTGACATCAGGAAATAAACTTATGATATAGGCCACGAGATCACAAGATCATCTTCATGAGATCAGTCAACAAGAAATGAATGTGGAGTCCACAGTGGGGTTCGGGGCAGCTGAGGCTCAGGTGCTAGAGCAGTTGTCCTCTGATCACAAGGTTGGTGGTTCGATCCCCCGCCCCTCCACAGTTGAAGTGTCCTTGGGCAAGACACTGAACCCGAAGTTGCTCCCAATGGCAGGCAGCACCTTGCATGGCAGCGCTGTCACCATTGGTGTATGAATGTGTGTGTGAATGGGTGAATGAGAAACATTGTAAAGCACTTTTGAGTACCATTAAAGTAGAAAAGCGCTTTGTAAGTGCAGAACATCTACAGAGGAGGCAGTCTCGTTAGTGTAATTTCCATACTCAGTGTTAGTGGCCAACTAAAGTGACATTTTCAATGCCTGACCATATAGAGAGCTGGGTAGCTGATGGCCGATATTTAATAAAATCATGTTGTTTTTGGTTTTTAGCAGCTACAGTGTATACCAATTTGTACACGTCACTAATGTTTATGTCTTGCCACCGCAGTACACCTTCTGTGGGACAATATGTCTCTGTACCTCCGTCACTCAGTAACTGCAGGGACATTCTTGTGAAGATAACTATACAAACTACACAGTAGAGACTTGCACAATGCGTGGTCTTCCTAGGTTTTCATGTGTTTTGATACACAGATGTGCATGTTAGAAGTACTCTTGATATTGTACAGATGGGGGGTAGTGGTGACTCTTCCCTTAAACCTAAAGTATAAGAATTGTTCTATATATGGAAGAATCTGTATGTTAGTTTTTACTTCTTGAGTTTTACCTACTTTCACTGTGAACACATATGTTAATTTGTCATGGACATCATGGTGGAACTTGAGTCAATCAAAGTGTGTCTTGTTATCTCAGTTAATGTCATACAGAGGAGTACTACAAAGCAAGTTTGACATATCCAGGTTTTCTTTGTGCAAGTTGGCTCGACAAAAACTAAACCCCCATGCAGTGATAACAACCATTACAACTTTCTTCGTCAACTCAGGCTTTCTGCTTTAAACTCTGAATATGTTCACATAAAACGCACCATGTGACTCTTCTTCTGCACAAAAATGATCATGTGCAGCTGCTTCAGTCAACATGTTGTTTTAATGAAGAACAATGAGGAATGTAAAAAGTTACGACAATGAAAACTGTTAAACGTGTTAATATATATATTTAACTCATCAATGCAGCTGATTATTATATATTAATATTATATTATTATATTATTATACTGATATATATATATTACATAACCTGTTCCTGACCAGGTTAGCTCCACACCACAGTTACCATGGAGCTCTAGCGCCACAGCATCAGTAACCATGGAGACCTAGCAGGTTAAAAAAGAGCCACTTCCGTGACACTGAAAACTCACTGACTTTAAACTCGACATACCTGATAACCCACTAATCTGGCTTCGTAGTACAGCCCTCTGGGGTGTTATAGTTTAATTTAAGGATATTTTACATAGAATGACAGATCTCTCAGACTGTCACAGTCTCTGGTGTTTGCTGCTGCTCGTCACGCCTCAGCTCCATCCAGACATCCAGGTTACAACTGCCTTGCTCATTTTGTTGTGGCCCTGTGTGTCCTTGTTTGTTTTTTCTAACCTTCTGTCTGCCTCTCTGTGTCTTCTTTTCTCTGGCTGGTCTCAGAATAAGGAGGGGTCATATCTGGGCCCCTATCTTGTAGTAAGTAGTAGCTTCTACGGTCTGCTTGCTCAGCCAAGTTTTTCACTTATCTTACAGGACAATGCAACACATGTCACATTGGCAAAGCCAGGAAATGTAGCGATGTTATGCTGATTCAGTTGTGGCACTGACAGCTCAAGAAAAGTGTCCTAATTCAAATCACCATAATTTATAAAGCAAGCTATTGAAACAAATGTTATGAGATGAGATGTAATGGTGCTTGTGAACAAATAGTTTGTTTCTTTTATCATCTAAAACAGTCACATTTCTAACACTGTATCTGCTGTGTTCTTTTTACATGCCCAGTATGGATAAAAACGGCACCATGACAATTGATTGGAATGAATGGCGGGATTACCACCTGCTGCATCCAGCCGACAACATTCCAGAGATCATCCTCCACTGGAAACACGCCACAGTATGGACTCTTCTTCTCTGTTCAGCAGCAGCATAGCACAGACACAAATCTCTCTTTTTTTGTGCTTAATGTTATTTGCAGCTGGTGTGTAAGTCAGTTTTACTGGCCAACAGTCCAACATTCAAAGACATTCAATTAACAAAGTTATGATCATTTTTGCTCTACCGGTCACCTTCTTATTGTAAAAGCTTATCATAATTTAGAAAAGGCCTTTTAAGTATTTTGCAGCAGTCTGTGGTAGCAAATAATGCTGCTAAATATTTAAAGCGCTACTAATAATTCTAGTAATGAATAAACTGGTATGGCCAGTGGTGAGACAAGTTACATCATTTTGTAAACCAGTTGCTGTAATACTAAAATGAATAACTGAGGAGCAGACAGTGCATTCCACTGCTGCATTTGTCCTGTAATATTTACCCCATTTTGTTGACTACTATGCCTTCAGGATGGTTTTCTGTCACCAGACTGAAAGTGTGTGCTACCTCCACAGATCTTTGATGTTGGGGAAAGTTTGGTGGTGCCTGATGAATTCACAGCAGAGGAAAAGAAAACAGGCATGTGGTGGCGACACCTAGTGGCTGGAGGAGGAGCCGGCGCTGCGTCTCGAACCTGCACTGCACCACTGGACAGGCTGAAAGTGCTAATGCAGGTGAAAGAGTTAGCAACACTCATTTGTTGAGCTTAGATGACTAATGAACAGGTGACACTTTTATTAGAGAGAACTGAATAAAGGGAAGTGAATCCTCTCGAAACATGCTGACTGTTGGTTCTTGGTATGCTCAGGTTCACGCCTCCAAGAGCAACAGCATGCACATTGCTGGTGGCTTTGCCCAGATGATCCGAGAGGGTGGTGTGAGGTCACTGTGGCGAGGCAATGGCATTAATGTCATCAAAATTGCCCCCGAGTCTGCTATTAAGTTCATGGCCTACGAGCAGGTACGCACAAATATAGCTCTGACTCCAATAAGCTCTGTTTCTGTCCGTTTTTGTTGTTGCTCTACAAAAACAAATGTCCTGTCTCACAGATTAAACGACTGATTGGAAGCAACCAGGAGACGCTGGGCATCGCAGAGAGACTGGTTGCTGGCTCTTCAGCAGGAGCAATCGCTCAGAGCAGCATCTATCCCATGGAGGTGAGAGACCAAAGAACAAAGAAAGACCTCGCCTGAATGATATTTTTAAGTGCTCATTAATATTGTGTTCATTCTGCAGAAACATATGACTCATTCTGTTTGTATGCAGAAATAACCAAGTGAACGTTCTTGTAGTTTAATCGTAACAACTGGACTTGCTTGAGTTTCTTGAAGACGTTTCACCTCTCATCCAAGAGGCTTCATCGGTTCTGACTGACAAGTTGGGAGTTCCAGATACTTATATCCTTAAGGAGCCATGAACACTCGAGTCAGGTTGAAGTGCTGGTGATTCCCGTAGTCTGCAAGTTTTCTGGAAGTTCTTTCGTACTCCCGCACCAGTCAAAGGGCGTTCTTCCCGAAGTGTGTAGCAACATGTCTGTGAAGATTCTCAGTCATCCAGGTCATGGTTATTCTGGTAATTTAATCATAACAACTGGACTTGCTTGAGTTTCTTGAACTTACACGAGTCTTACACTCACCCAAGTGTTAATGGCTCCTTGAGGATATAAGTACCTGGATCTCCCAACCCGTCAGTCAGAACTGATGAAGCCTCTTGGATGAGAGGTGAAACATCTTCAAAAAACTCAAGCAAGTCCAGTTGTTACGACCAAACTACCAGAATAACCATGACCTCGATGACTGAGAATCTTCACAGACAAACCAAGTGAACACTTTAAATCTTGTGAAAACTTGTGAAACTGGACTGACCTTCACACACACTCAGACCTTCAGCTATTTGCAAACTGTGACCTGGTCAGTTTTGTAAATAAGGCTTATAACAGCATGTCTGTGCTACTGTATCCTAGTTTACTAACGAGCGCAGTGGAGGTTTTTTCTATCTGTCAGAAGGTCTAAAATAACTTCCTGTCCTCCCAGGTTCTGAAGACACGGTTAGCCCTGAGGAAGACAGGTCAGTACTCCGGCATCTTAGATTGTGCCAAACAGATCCTCCAGAAGGAAGGAGTGGCTGCTTTCTACAAGGGCTACGTTCCCAACATGCTGGGCATCATCCCCTACGCTGGCATCGACCTGGCTGTCTATGAGGTCTGTGGGTCTCGTAGAAGATCTCTTGTGGTTTCTTGTTTGTTTGATTTTTAGTTCTTTCTGACATTCTTTTCTGTCTTCTCTGTTGTCAGACTCTGAAGAATTCCTGGTTGCAGCGCTTCGCCACAGACAGTGCTAATCCAGGAGTGTTTGTGCTCCTGGCTTGTGGCACCACTTCCAGCACGTGTGGTCAGCTGGCCAGCTACCCACTCGCCCTCGTCAGGACTCGAATGCAGGCACAAGGTCAGTCACTACAGAGATCTACCACACTGTATAGCGGCTGTATATTTAGAGAATATGAAGAAATGGTTGTGCTTTTCAGGAACATTCCAAATGATTGATTACTATTATTAAGCCATAACCAGCAATTATGCAGCAAGATTTTATCACTCTTATCCGAAGTATCTCCTATTTTCTCCCATGAGCATGAGGCTTGTTCTCAGGGGACTTCTAACCCAACCACACAAACTACACACATTGTCGTTTACTTTACTTTCCCAGTGGGTGATGGCACCGGCCAATCAACTAACTCATCTCTAAATCATTTTCTGACAGCATTTTCAGTTATTTTTGTCAGGTGTTTGATTTGATTCATGCATATTCTCCCATTATTTCTTCATTAAAGACGAAGGGAGAGGCCATGAACTTACACATGCGTAGTGTGTGATGTTTGAGGACTTGTCTGCTGTAAAAAAAGTGTTTGTTGTGGTGTAGGTGACCATGTGTCCCTTCTGTTTCCTCAGCTACCCTAGAAGGAGGCCCTCAGATGAGCATGATGGGCCTGTTCAGACATATCATAAGGACCGAGGGGCCTATGGGGCTCTATCGAGGGCTGGCACCCAACTTCATGAAGGTTATTCCGTCTGTCAGCATCAGCTATGTAGTCTACGAGTACCTCAAGATCGCGTTGGGGGTCCAGTCAAAGTGAGGAGCGGAAAAAAGTGGAAGAGATCAAAAGGCCAAAGGTTTTTTTTGCTTCTTCTTTGATGATCGACTTTGTGGATCTGTAAGACGCAGGCAGCTGAAATTCTGCACATTTCAATCAAATGATCAGACTGCAGGGAATGAAGGATCGAGCTGAGATGAAAAAAAAACCTGCAAGGAGGAAAGGTTGATTGAAGTGTCTATTGGTTGGGGTTGTTGTTTTGTTTTTTGTTTTTTTTTTAAAATCATTTGCTTTAGTTATCCATCAGTCTTGGTCTCAGAAGACAAAAGTTTATGGTGAATGACTGGTACACTAGTAGTGTGTGCATGCTGGTGACAATGTTATGTCTGCAGCAGTCCTGCTTGTCTGTGTGAAAGAAAAAATGTTTGTCTTGAAGGGCTTTGCTAAGGCATTTTACTTCCCCTCTGGAAGACTTGCTACTAACCACCACTAACACTGACTCTGCACAAAACCCATGAGGATATGACCACAGGTTTTGTGCACGTAATATGCATCTTTATGTAGATGTAGATGTGACCCACAGCTTTGCTCTGTGTAACGAGGCCCCCATGGCCAGAAGCAGCCAAAATTAAATCATGAAATTAGTAGAAATATATTCAGCCTGCAGATAAAGAACCACCTTAGTGCCATCATTTATCCTTACTTCTGTTACCTTGCATGAAGGTTCTGGCAGGATTATAGAAGTTTTGGCTTCCAGGGCATAGTCCTCCTCGAGACGAGCAGACGATATGCCATGCACAAATAACTATCGAATTATCAAGCAGAATTTTGTCTGAGGCATTCTTCTGCACATCGAGAAAATGGAACTAAATTGTTTGCAGATATTTACTTTTTTTTTTCTTTCTTTTTGCCTCATTGTCTCCAGAGAATCAACCTTTACTATTACCAAAGTAAGGCCTAAATGTAACATTTCCAAAAGCATTTGGTCATGAAAAAGCCCAAATCACTCAAAAGCACATCAAAGCTTCCAATTCGACTCACCTCCGTCATGTAGTACAACTACATTGCTACGTCTGAGGACCTGAAAGTAGCACAGCTGTCATGTCGTTTTTAGTTCCATTCAATATGTTAGTCCTTTGGGGTGTCAGAGGCATTGCAGCTAAACAGGAAGTTTTCAAAAGCAAGAGAAAGGGTATTCAGTTAAGTTTAGTTGTACTTCTTTAGAAAAAAATTAAAAATCTATCATTTGAAATGCAAAGCTGAAGGTTTAATGCTGTCTGAGCTGTCATGCAGTCAGAGGTAGTACACTGTGATGGTCCTTGATGCACATTTGTAGAGTTTGTTGATTGACTTTTGGCTTCGGCAGAATTGCTAAATAATTTCCTCACTCTTAACATTTTAAGCAAGATGATGTAACTTCTACTGTACGACTGCCACAAGATTCACGAGTCAGTTGCTGTGACCATTTATGTCCATGAACACATCTGGTGGCGTGGCGTTACATCACACTCGTTGTGCTGACTTGCAGCACAACTGCTCTCAGTACCCTGAATGTGGATTTATTTCATTAGACATGTATACGTACATGGTGGATTTGGCTGCAATCAGTCACAATTTAGGTGAGGACAAAAATACAACCAAGAAAAGGTGCTTTTGCTGCATATGTGTAAAGACAAAGTTAGTGACAAATGAAATGGAATATTAAAATAATCTTAACCAATTAAAATGCATACAGGCCTTTACATACCTTCACAAGTAAATTTCCCACAAAGAGACCCAGTGTAGAGAGCAGAGCAAGTAGGAGCGGGTGATTGGTCACAACAGAGCTGGAACATGATGCAGACGCTTACTGTGATGACGTCAGTTAGTCAGCTCCTTAGAACAATGAGATGCAACCAAAGGCTGAAAACAGCATGCCTCCTAATACCAGTATTTAGCTGTAACATCAGTGAAATGTTTATCCGTGAGCTGCTAAAACGTTAAGCAACAGCAGCACATTAATCACTGCAGATCCAACCAGGCTGTTGATTTCTTCTGAAAATAATAGAATAATTGTGTCTGTCTGGCGTTTATCTGTAACGTGAGTGACGGCAACAGAAAGAAGGACAATAACCACAAAAGAAAGGCTGATATGAGGTACTCTGTCACCTTTTACACCAGAAGAGGTTGTAATAGTGACAGTTTTATAGGCAGCAGCAGTTAGTGATAGAAGAGACAGATGCTTTTGAGAACTTTGTACTGCCTACTACTAACTAGGGCTGCATGCTATATTATTATGGTGTGCAATGGTCACACCACAGAAAATGTGATGTAAAATAGGACAAATTAACATTTTTGCTGCTTGATACAAAAAGAAACACGTTTTCATTTTCCTCAACCAATCTAGAAAAGAAGTCTTGTTTGATTATTTACTCAAATTTATAGGTTCACAGCGTTTTGTTTTCGTTATTTCTTTAAAAGACATGAAGTTTGTTGACACACAGACTCCACATAAGCTACTGCAAAATAAGTGAGGATCAGGAGGGGAACACCAAAATGAAAAATTTGGTTGGCAAAAAGAAATGCAATGTAGTCCACAGCCCACAAATATTTTCAATCCACATCTTTTTCACTATTTCATTCACCTGCAGTAACTGAGTGGAGACTAGAGGCTTTTCTGTGCACAGCCTCCCAACTAGCTTCTACTGTAGCCTGCATGTGAGGTGTTCAGAGAACAGGTCTAAGTTGTAGCGTCTATTCATAAACAGACATAGAGCAAGTGAGGAGTTTCAGGTACAGTTTAATTCATATTTAGCCTTCAGGAGATGATCTAAATTCCAGTGCAATTTATTTCACATGTATATTAGCAGGAGTGGAGCACAACATGGAAGTACAAGCAGTGCTCTATCTAAATGTGAAAGTGCAATAAAAATAATTTTCTAAAATAAATAGTGATAAATAATGGTGATCTTGATATTGATTAAAATAACCAGAATTATTATTTTGGCCATAATCGTGCAGCCCTAGTCAGTTGTATTGAAATGTTTTTGGATGTTTTTGCCAGTGTTACACCACTGATACATGTTCCACATTGCTTTTGAAAGTTTTGCAGAGCAATTTTTTAATTTTTTTTCTAACATCATGCAGCCCTACTTCTGCATCAGCAGTGGTTACAATAGAGTTTTGAGACTCTATTAAGTAAAAGGTCTGACTTCTAGTCACAATGGCAGAAATGTCCAATTAACACTTTTTCTTCAGTCATCAAGAAGGAAACATGTGCTCTGATTTTACTATCATGTCAACCAGAGCAGGTCAATCCTGAAGCACAGTTAACCTTGATTTACTCAAAACACATCACTAAATGCTGGCTGTTTATTTATTTTTGTGTTTAATGGTGTTAATTTACAACAGTACTGTAGCAGAGAACCTGTGTGAGGCTCATCAGATAGTAAATAACTGAACCAAAAAAGAACTCCTAATAGCTGAAGTTGAAACTGGACGTTTGTTCAGTGTCGCCTAGAATAAGAAAAGATGTATTAGAACTACAGATTTGAAAATAATTATTAGACCACTGCGAAACCCTGTTTTTGCCTCTGTAAAGAAAACAATGTGGGCTAATAATTATTTCCAAAGCTGTACATTTTTACTGCTATAAAGATAAATGTGTCTGGAGGAGACGCCACACAGAGTTCCTCTCTTCATCATACTGATGTTGTTCTGCTTTGATACGTTCTTTTTTTTCCTGTCGTGTAATGTTTCCATAGTTCAGAAGTTAATCTTATCTACTAACAATTGTTCAGAAGCTTCACCTCTATTCTTCCATAATTTCCCTGGTATGACTCAACTACCACTTTGAAAATGGTTTAGTGTTTTGTTAGATTCATATGATGATAGCTGCTGATTGTATCGGCCACAGAAGAGACTCTGACAAGGATTTGCAGGTTAAATGTTTTAGACATTGTTGGCTTAATGAATATTTCACCTATTTTTCAGTTAACTGTTCTTGTTTAAACACTCCATAAAGTCACAAGACTTGACGTCCGAGCCGAGGCAGCGCTCAACCTGACTGATGATGCCTGTGTCTAATGATCACAAATCCCCATGCGTGCCTTGTGTGCCAACCCTCTCTTACATGAATGCACCCAAACACTGTAAGAGGTGGAGTCTGATGGACACTGAATGCACTTTAAGGTACTCTGCTTGGATTCACCTTTTTATTTATTTATTGCTGTATTTATTTTTTTATTTATTTCAACAGAAAAGGGTGAATGACTGAATTTGTGATCTTTGGTTGCGCTGATTAATGTCATATTCATTTATTTCAGAGTACGCTGTGGTATCGCTGACAGGTTGTGGTTTGTTTTCCAAGTAATAAAAGTGACTCAGATATGGTTTTAAACTCAAAGCCTCAAAGATGTGAAACCCCAAAGTGTTCAACATGTAACAAATATTCTAGAATACATACTAAATTATAAAATGTCTAAAAAGTACAATGAGATCCATTGATTCATTTTAAGGGGATATCATTTTTATTACTATATATATTTTTCATTCAAAATAGCATTTTTCTCAATAAATTTTTTATTTAATGTTACGGTTTGTCACTTTTCATGACAGTGGTGTTGTCACTCTCATCTCCTCTCATCTTTCAGCCAATCACAAGCTGGCAAGCTCAGCAGTTCCTACCAGTTTACCCAGTTTGGTCCTGGGAGCTACACAAGCTGGGGATTGACAATGCAGAGTCATTTTAAATCATGATGCTGCACTAAATATACACAGTACACATACTGTATCTAAAATGCTTTTGTATTTAAGCCTTATCTTAACGAGTATACCCTTACTGCCTACCTTTTAACATCCAACTTAAGAGCCAGCATTAGCAGTGCTAGCTATTTTTTGCAGGCTGGTTCATGCAGTATATGTCATACGGTTTTCTCACTTTGGACCAATAGGTTGTGTCTATATTCATGGCTGCATCATAGAATATGGAAAAGAATTGCCAGAGGAATTGGAAAAAGTCATTATGAGACTTCATAAAGATGGAAAATTATGTCACAAGATGAAAGACTAACTAAAAATCAGTGAAAACACAGTTGCGGCAGTAATCAAAAGATATGAAATGAGCTGTAGTACCACTAGTCAGTGCCAAAATGGCCATCCTACTAAAATGATGTCCCAGGCCATGCACTACCTGCACAATCTGACGTCATTCAAGTGCTTCAGACAGGAAATCAGAGCTTGTGACACCTCAGCCAGGGTGATGCATTACATTAACTGCTTTGGAATGTCATACAAGAAGAAAAAACCTTGCTTGCTCTTTAGCACAAACTCACCACTCCTTTGGTCACTTGAGACCAAGATAAATTTGTTCACCTTAGATGTGGTCCAACATGTTTGGTGTGAACTTGACCAGGGCCACCACAGTGAATGCTTAGTCCTGACAGTGAAGCACGGAGGTGGCAGTATGATGATATGGGGCTGCATGAGAGCAAAAGGTGTTGGGGAGATGACATTTATAGATGGCACCATGATTGCCTGTGGATATACCAAAACACTGGCTGACAAGATGATTCCCAGTCTCCAGAAACTTGGCAGAGGAGGAAGATTTCAGCATAATGATCCAAAGCAGACTGCCAAAACCACATTAGAGTTTCTAAAGAAAACAAAAGGGAAAACTATGACTTGACAAAGTGTGTCGCTTGACTTAAATCCAACTGAACAAGTTTGGGGTATTTTAAAGAGAAAGGCAGATCAACACAACCCATCTGGCAAAATGCAACAGAAAAAAATATTCTCTGAGTATTGATAGAACAACTCTCTAGACATTTGTACAACACTGGCATCCTTCATGCTGAGGAGGACTGAGTCTGTCATCAAAATAAATAGATGTAACTAACAATGATTAAATAATATATCACAATTGTGTATTTATAGATTTTACACAGGTTATTATGAGTATTTGTTAAAAAGACTACTTTCTGAATTTAGTTAACGTAAGGACTCCCCTGATGACATGGTCTGACTTCACATCAGTTTGTTCTGGTGATAAACAATATCAAGAATATTTTGGTACTAAAGTATACAATCTGAGCACGACCTCATCACACTAAATCAAGTGAATGTTTTGGCAAGTACTGTAATAAAAGTAAGGATGTACACATACAAAGGCTGGCTGCCCTGCTGTATAAGCTAATGCGCTGTACAATCTGTGTACATCTGTAGTAGAGCTGCAGTCTCACATGCCGGCCTGTCAAAAAAAAAAAAAAAGCGCCTTACTCCAGCACCACATTTGCTTTTCAAATGACACTGTGTCTTGCAACGAGCAAAGAGATGATCGGCTTACATTTGCTCATTACGAGTGTTGATCCTCGTTCACGGGTTGAACAGGATGTGTCCCTCATTGTGGCTCCATGTCATTTCTGGCACAACACGTGTGTTTCTGACTCTTGTATTGTATATTATGCATAAACCAGTGACACGAATTGATGTCACGCTGTGGCTGCGTGTTAATGTTGTCAGTATTTTGTACAGTGAAAAGCAAAGCTCAAGTGTCTTAAAAGCAGCGATCTGGTCACTTGTGTGTTGCAGATCGCCAGTGGAACTTGCACAGGAACTACTTGACTATAAACTAAAGGCTACGATGTATATTGGTAAATAAGGGCATAATTTACAAAATGTATTCATTATTTTTATGATTATTATGCTTGCTGTAATTGACAGATGTAATGGATGTAAATGAATGTGTGAGTACTTGTAGTTTATAGAGGCTTCCACTGCTTGTGTGGGATCAACTGGTAACTAAAGTAGTTTAGCTTTGACTGTTTTTCATTAGACATTTAGTTCTGTACCTAAAATCAATCCTAAATTTGCACAACATGACTAATTTTAGTTGTTTGAGTCAGTGTAATAAAATGTGGACAAATCTCCCACTTGTCACTTTACTGTCTACAACCCTTCAAGTCACCTTCACCTGGAGAAGGTCGTAGCTGCAGCAACCGTCTGTCCAGCAGAGGAAGAGGTAGAGCCTCAAATACAGAAGTACCAATACAACAATTAGAGGAAGTGTCATCAGTTTTCTGTATGTGAAAGTACAATGTTTGCAGTAAATGTATTTAAAATACCCATAATGCAGGACAATGCCCAATATTCTACACTGTATTATTAACACTGATGTAGCAGTGTGTAAGCAGCATTTCACTGTTGTAGCTTCAAGAGGAGGAGCTAATGTTATGGATAGGTAGGTGTTTTTGTCCACTGGTCAACAGTTGCATAGGCAGGATTTATTTCTCTATCACAGCTAAAACAAACTCAGTGTCATTATAGTGGTACAATATTTTTAAAGCACTTTTTTACTTTCCACATGATGCCTGATTTGATCACAGATGTAGTTACAGTGGATGTAGCACAAATGCTTAATCTTCTATCCATTATGTTTCAGTTATTAAATTATATTAATATTAGTTACTAAATATTTACATAACCAATGAGGGTTTTTTTTTTTTCTAGGTGTGAAATTTGAAGATAGCCCTTTGCTAGCTAGTCGGCAAAAGGGCAGTTTTCCACCCAAAAGCTGATGTAGGTAGGTTTTTTCATTTTGGATAGTTTTTGAACCAGCATGTTGGTTTCAGGGTAGGAAAAGTTAGGCTGAAAAGGAAGAAGGGGTTCCCTGGTGATGCTTGCTCAGCCACAGGGAACAGTATCCCTCCCTACTTCATATTTCCTCGGGTGCACTTTCGTGATCACTTCATCAACAATGAGCTGACTGGCAGGAAAGGAGGAGCAAATCCCACAGGGCAGAGGAAAGAACCACACTTTGTTGATTTCCTCAAGCATTTTGTGGAACATGCCAAGTGCTCAAAGGAGAAGCCCTGCTTACTTCTTCTGGATAACACCTGCTCACATCTTTCTTTTGGGCTGAATTTTGCCAAAGCAAATGGCATCATTATGTTGTCCTTCCCAGTCCACTGCTCACACAGGCTGCAGCCTTTGGACAGAAGTGTTTATGGGCCACTTAAAAAGCATGGGAACTCTGTCTCTGATTCCTGGATGAGGAACAACCCAGGTAAAAGATTCACCATCTATGACATCCCTGGGATTGTGGCAATCGATTGTCCTCTGGCTGCAACCCCACCGAATATTTAGGCTGGCTTTCGGGTGACAGGGGTTCAACCTTACAATAGAGATGAGTTCTTGGAGACAGAATTTGCACCATTTCATATCTCAGATCGCCCCCACCAGAACCCAGTGCTATCAAGCCCAAGCACCAACCCAGCCGTTCCAGGCTCC